TTATCACTACGAGAAACAATCAAACATGTGTGACCCATAGGACTGTTGAGTCACTAATGTTCACGTATAACATATTTAATTGTAGTGTGGTATAATTCTTGTGTGTTATGACGTACTGGGTGATTTGATTTGATTGGTTTTGCCGCTCACAGCCGCTAGTTTATTGTGCACCCCATACTCATCCTGTGAGCGGTAGCGGAAAAGGATTACAGTGTAGGGCTTACAAAGGGTCATAATAATTAACCCCCGTGGTCAGGATATTATGGCACTGAATGTTACACAGTATTTCAATTACATTATTTGTTTAGTTCTATACATAAAGGGTAACTTATTCACAACTGCGCGAGTACAGGCGTGTGAGGCAGTATGTCTGGCCGCACACTTTGTTATTCACATTTGCGTGAGAAGTATTCAAGCACATTGTGTGTTTGGTTCTACTGGGTGAAGTATTGGTGGTGTTGCTGCCTGGTTCAGGGGATGAAGTCATGTGTAAATCCTGACTTCGAACCCATCCATGAACTCACGAATCTTTGAACCCCTTATATATATATATATATATATATATATATATATATATATATATATATATATATATATATATATATATATATATATATATATATATATGCAAGTAAATCACTGTAGGTGCGCGTGATCTAGGTATATGCTGATAACCACAAGGAAAGAAGAAAACACGAAGTTCCCAAGCGCTTTCGTGTAATTCACATCTTCAGGGGTGAGTACAGACTAGAGAAAGAAATACAAATCAAGGTGTATATATACAGAGAAGGGTGAGACCAGGTCCACAATGGTCAGGTATTAGGTAATGACCCTACTAATCTTTAAATAGCACACAACGGTTGGTGGTCAGGTCAGATGGTCAGGTGACCCGGCCTTCTCACCTGGTCACAAATCTTCTTAATTACAAAATTGTCCAGCTTGTACATGCCGTTACTCAAATTCATGTTGAATGCTTCGGTATGTTTAATAAGACTAGATTCTATGATGTTCCTACTATCAATTGAATTACATGGTAATATTGAGGAGGCATTATCCCAGTCAATGCAATGCTTGTTATCCCTCAAATGAACAAACAGAGCATTGGATTCCTGGCCTGTCCTAACACTGTATTTGTGTTGTTTAATTCTAGTTGCAAGATCTTTACCTGTCTGGCATATGATATGCATGTAAGGAATTTCAACAATGTAATAAAAGTGAAATTGGCTGGGAGTGAACATGGTAACTGTTGATAAACTTTACAATGTTGCTTGATTGATTGATTTCCTGGTCGTCAACTGCTCTGGTTAACGCGGCGGAGACTTGTGAGTTAGACCACTTTCACTTTTTGTGTTCCTTTTTCGTACTGTTCATATTTCTTTATCTTATTTCTTTGTGTCTTCTATGCTCTTGTTCCTTCCTTTACTACATACAAGAAGAGTCTCCATGTAGTAAGGGTGTTTCAGGGTTAACATCTTAGCTCCCCTACACTCCACTTGGAACACTCCCGGTCAGAGGAGGGCCGCCACAAACTGTACATTCCGTCGGTTTCGTCGTACGCGTAGTGCCTGGTGCTCGATGGTCGTACACGTGACGCAGACCTCCCGAGCCAGGCACTTCTCAGGGTGTACGTATCGCTGGCACGTGTGGGTCTGGCAACGTAGGTCTTGGTAGTGTCTTTGGGGAGCTCACCACTTCACTGGTCAGCTTCCTTACGACGTGGAGTTGGTCACCGATCAACTGGGCCAGGTGTCCAATTTCGACGTTGATTTCTACCTCGATTGGGACTCCGTTGATGACCAGGACGTCCTGCACCTGCCTGGCCACCACTCACCTGTCTGCAGATGACCTTTGTGGCCTCCCGATATGTCGAAAAACTTCCCCCAGGAGGTTGGGTTACTTGGGAGAGGTGCTCTCGACGGGGTGTAGCCGAACCACCTTCACTTGGTACTATAATGTATTGTCATGACCACGTGTCCTCCTCCCCTTTCTCCGGGAATTCGGGAACTTATGTTCTCTCACAAGGTCCGGGATCAGTGCGTCAAGGTCGACTTAATGCTGGTACCTGTTGCTGTTGTCTCGTTCTTGGCAACAGGTGTGTATCAGCGTACAGTACAGTATGTGATGGGTGACTGTGATTGGTTAATATGTACACAGACGTGAATATTATAAAAGTTAATGTAAATTCGTAAAAAAATTAATGAGAGACAACACATATAACAGAAAAGTAGATGAGCAGGAGTACACCCACGCCAGTTGACACACCCTACCGTGAGACCTGACCCAGGAGAGCTGAGTTAACCCGGCGACCTGACCACGCACCTGACCCAAGAGAGGTAACAGTGACCCAGAGTTCTCACCGCCACGTCATTAGCTAACCCAGCGACATGACCGTGTTACTCAAGAAGCTTCCCTCCAACCAGTACACCTGTCACCTGACCAGACACACACAGATTAGTGACGACATTTCCCTGCTTGTTATCGCCAATATAAGGAGCCTGCAGCTCCTTCCACGAGGCATATGGATTATTTTGGTAATAGGGAAGGGGCCGTCCCAGAGGGAGACTTCCCTCCCCAGCACCGAGTCTCCAGCTAGCAGTCTCCCTAGGAGACATAGTCCAGCAGCTTCCCCAGCCGCTGGGCCTCCCTCAGGTCACACGTGAGTCATTGTCAGACCGATTCATTAGGGTGAGTTACTTATGGCGGGAAGTGTATCCATATCATGTTTGTGTCCGAGAGTCATTGTCGAGTAACTTCGATATAATGATTTATTAATGTGTCCGTACCATTGAGTGAATAATAAATAGCTATACTTAGAAGATTTCCCCCAAGAATATATTAACAGTTAATAAACTAACCGGCCACGCTACCAAACTTTCCTCACTTTACAATCCTATAACTAAACATTCTTAACATATCTTCTATACGAGTTTTTATTCACTATAAAAATCTGACCTAACTTAACCTGACTTACCCTAACCAAACCAATTATATACACCTACAACCACGCCAAACAGTACCTATATACCAGTAGTTATAACCACGACTGAGAGTGTCTGTTATCTACCGTGATGCAGGACACTTGAGAACGATAACTGCTGTACTGTGACCGACTTAGTTATCTGTGCTTGATTGTTTGGATTCAGTGTGTGTTTGACCTAGGTTAGTTTAGTGGTTAGGTTATGTTGGGTTAGTACAAAGTTAGGTTAGGTTTACGTTAGGTTATGTTAGGTTTACGTTAGGTTAGGTTAGGATAGGTTAAGTGAGATTAGATTAGGGTGATTAGGTTATGGTGGTTATTCCTCCGGTGTTCCGTAATTAGTGATCTAAGTTATAGATAATTAAGATAACAATGACAAATAAATCTTGATCACAATCGCTCTCGGCTGTAAACAATCTCACTGCCAGTGTTCGCCAGACAGTGAGATGTTCATGGTATATTAATTCACAACTCGTAAATGTCCTGTCTGTTTGTATGCTGCATCACGTCTTGAGGCTACCCAGTGTTTGCCAAGCTTCACCTCACGCTTCAAGCTGTCTCACTCCACTCAATACAACACTCTTGCCACCTAAGTATATATCTAACAAACACACGAGATGTCACAAACGAGCCACAGGTGTGCATTAGTTTTAATTACATCACTACTACTACACACACACTACTACTGCACACACACACTACTACTACACACACACACTACTACTACACACACACACTACTACTACACACACACACTACTACTACACACACACACTACTACTGCTACTACTACTACGATGATTAACTTGGTCTCCAGCCTCCCCCAATAGCCACACCTTCGCCGCCATTCTATGACCTTAATATTAAATATCCTAATCCAAAAGTAGCCACCTTAGCTGTGTTAGTTAAGGGGCAGATCTATGTGGCATTCACTGACTGTTGCCTTATAGTTAATGTCTGCGACTTGTTGGCTTTGGGGCCGATGATCTCGTTCCCCTGAGGCAAAGCAATGCAGACCTAAGCAGAGAGAAGGACAGTCGACATCTCAACCAGGCTGCAACGTAACTTCTGGGCTGCTGCTTCCGTTCAGTCTTGCGTGCAAGCGTCTTGCACTTGGTCCCATCCTGCCAGAGGAGTGAAGCTGCTATGATCAGCATTTTGAATTCTCTCCCCATATGACTTGTTCTCAAGAGACAAGCTACGGCAACATGCGGCCATGGGGTCGAATATCCTGACATCAAATAAGGCTTGCTGTCCCCACGGCCAGAATCCTCGAGCACTGACGTCCACTTGGGCTTCGTTGGATGTATTTGAAGTCCTGTGACGGAGGTTCTCACCGTCCAATGGAAGGACTGGCGGTTCCACCATGACGTCGTGGCAGATTTCCTTCAGTATATTTGCTGTGAAATCCCTTACTTCACCATGCCCCCTATCTTGTACTTCATAGCCTGCTGAGCCACACACATATTGGGAGGGCAAACCTTCTACTGGCCTACCTTACCTTAGAGCAATGGCATCTGTGAATTCTTGTTTGTCGACGCTCAAGAACTTTGCTGTTATCGGTAAAGTTGTTAGCCAGTTTAAGGCGCGCACCTCCTGCTCTACCCACCTCCACCCCTACCTACTACCACCAAGGTCCACCACCCGTCTCTCTCACGGTAGATGGGCGGCATGATAGACGACTGTAGCGTACTTCCTGCCTGTCATGATCTGAGTATGTCTTTGATGTTGTCTTAGTATGAGAAGGAGGAAGATAAGGAGTAAGGAGAGGAGGAGAAGGGAGAGAAGCAGCAGCAGGAGGAAGAGGAGGAAGGAAGAGATGGAAGAAAATTTACCCATCCCGACCTAACCTAACCTAAACCCAACTACTCGTGGATAATTCCGTTAGATTATATTGGATAGTCACTATATAAGATATATTAGATCGGGCAGTGGTGTAAAGGTCTCGTTTATGTTATTTAATATTTACTAATTGGCACCTGTCGTAGCCACGTGACGTATGGGTGAGCTGGAGGCTGGAGAAGCTTCGTTTATCAGTCAACCCCAGGACACGATTACGGGAGGACGTGTCATTTCTCTCTCCACTGTTGGCTAATATTTTACGTGGGAACATAAATTTAATGTACTAATTAGGGAAGTAAATGAGAGATATGGATATATTTAAGAAAATTTGAAAGAGATTTTGATATTTTTCCGAACGATTATTAAGAAATACAGCGTAAGACTTTGTGAAGAGTGAACAAAGCACTTAAGTGAAGCAGACGTGAAGCACTGTAGTAAACATGACAGAAACTAATACGATCGCTTTAAAACAGGTGAGTAAATGTTTGTCAAGCGTGGTATTAATACTGAGCTCTCTCTCTCTCTCTCTCTCTCTCTCTCTCAAATGAAACAACCACTCATTAAGTCACATGAGTCAATGGACCAATGAGGTCGCCTCGTTCATTAAACCTAAAGACCGAACGGACCAATTAAGTGGCTTCATTATATTAACTGGAGACAGAACACCAATCAGAGAGCGACTTGTGTGTGATTGGATAGTGATAAGTATGTATGTATGTGGCTCTTATGCCCCTCCGGTCATCGTGTGGGGGTAAATGTTTGTCTGTCTGTAGTGTATCTCAGGCGCCACTCTAATCTGAAATTAACTTAGATTATTACTATTGTTGTTGTTGTTATTATTATTATTATTATTATTGTTATTATTATTGTTGTTATTATTGTTGTTATTATTATTATTACTATTGTTATTATTATTGTTACCTTTATTATTATTAGTAGTAGTATTTGGGTCTTGCCTCGCTAGTTTGGCGGACAATTAAATAGAAAGCAATAGAAATTGTTAGAGGAGATAGCGATAAAAATTGTTAATGGGAAATTAATGTTATTTGGTCGAGGAACAGGAAGGCTCGTGTATGCTAGGCCGACCACACATGACAAGGTTGTGCGGTTAGATAAAACTCGGCCTATTGTGTTTTGGTCATTATTATATATATAGTGATATTGTAATTTCAACCTAACCCAACCTTAACCTACCCAACCCAACCTAAACTAACACCAGCCTTAATGCCAGTCACGGGAGGCTGTTGAAATCGAGTGCGGGAGAAGTGAAAGTCTTAAGACTGAGGAAGTGTCGTCAGACTGTGAGGGAGGTGGGGTTTGGTGACATGTCACGTCATCGAGGGAGGCGGGGTTTGGTGACATGTCACGTCATCGAGGGAGGCGGGGTTTGGTGACATGTCACGTCATCGAGGGAGGCGGGGTTTGGTGACATGTCACGTCATCGAGGGAGGCGGGGTTTGGTGACATGTCACGTCATCGAGGCGGGGTTTGACATGTCACGTCATCGAGGGAGTGGGGTTTGGTGAGGTCATCGGGGTTTTGTCACGTCATGTCGTGATGCGTCACGTCATGGAGGGGAGGCGGGGTTGGTGACATGTCACGTCATGGAGGGAGGCGGGGTTTGGTGACATGTCACGTCATCGAGGGAGGCGGGATTTGGTGACATGTCACGTCATCGAGGGAGGCGGGATTTGGTGACATGTCACGTCATCGAGGGAGGCGGGGTTTGGTGACATGTCACGTCATCGAGGGACACAGACTTTATTTCTCTTAACGTTTTAAATTACATAGAAGCCAGGTAGACAAGTTGTATGTACATATTGTTAATTTATATACTAATTGAAGTGTATATAGTATAATTAAATATATATATATATATAAATATAAACAAACAAAGATTTGTTTCCGGGTGATATTAATTACATTTTTGTGTTGTGACGTCACTCATACGGGCTGTGACGTCACGGGTGTGCACGTGCATTTTGTCAGTATAAACAGGTGGTCTCAAGGTCATTGGTTAATTCTAAGAGTTGGTGTAATTTATTAGCGTGTGGGTCTGTAGGTGTGTGTGTGAGGGGGAGATAGAACTACCAGCGGGAAATACTGTACACTAATATACATTTAAACATTAATCTTAACAAATTAACTATGGTGCTCATTAAGGAAGTGTGTGCCTGAGTCATGTGAGCATAAATTTGTCTGCTATTAAACTCTATTGCTGTTGGCTATATCAACTTATTAGCTGATTCATGATAATTAATAATTTTTTTCATGTATACAGTCTGATTTCATACACGTGTTATATGTAAACTCAAACTCCATGTGTGTATGTATATGTGTGCGTGTGTACGTAGGTTTGTGTATACGAATTTGGTTTGTGTTAAATGGGGTGAGTGTGTATATATATGTGTGTATGTAGGTACGTGTTTATGTATGTATGTGTACGTATGTAATTTGTATTACATAGGATGTGTATGTGTGTGTGTGTGTGTGCGTATTTCATCATATATAAACAAATATCCATATATGTACCGTATACAGCAATTATATGTATGTATACTGTATACCGGCATTTTATATATACATCTTGAATTTATATACACCTGTATACTGGTTTTATAGAATATCTATCTATCTACTGTATCTATCAATCGAAATCGCTGCTTGACATTTTATTTTGTCATCATAAAAGAGAGAGTGCTTCAACAGCTGGCTGGCCAACACCCGTGATAGACAATGTAAACAAACTCGGTTTTACCATCGGGTTCTGTCACGTATTGTTGTAGTTACTGCCTGGTTAGTTCCCGCCTCGGCTTCACAGAGGGAGGATGTACGACTTTCTTCCTCCGTGAGTTGTGTTGTTAATTGGTATTTTGTTATATTGTTAATTAAGATATACCTGAAAACACTTAAAATTCGTGGATACTCGAATGGTGGTAACATATATGTTTTATATATACATTCATGGCTTAATAAATGTGTGTGTAACTCGTTAAAAAAAACTTATCAATTGTTTGCATGTAATGTTGCTTTTAGAAATATATGAACAAAGTTTTAAGACGTAAAATATGGTAGAAAATCATCGCAAAAGAGGTTGTACATAGTTATAAAGACATTAAATACTGTATGTGGTTTGTATGTATGTAATGTGTTGTATTGCACCATCTCGTCTCTGCTTCGATAAATCCATGTTGACAAAGGTAATTATTGTCACTCGGGGTAATATCACTTTCTGTTCTGAGATACACTGTTTAAAATATCCTTACTCTTTTAATACCTATAAAATACCTGTCTGAAAAAACAAATAGCCATTAAAACGCGAGTGAAGGGAGTGGGAAAAGTTATGTGTTCGTGGGAAGCCCAAGTGTGGCTCTGGCCAATCACAAGTCTCTACATTGCATTATGTCATTCTTGCGTCATAAACCAGTGACGTCACCGTTTGATTATTTTTTCCATGTTATTGTGACGTCACTATTCTGTACTGAATAAAGCTAGTAGTGCTACAACATATACTGAGTGTTATTATAGTAGTACTACAACACATACTCAGGGTGCCGCCACAACACACTCAGGCAATGTTGTTCCTAGAGTTCACAATTCTCACTCCGACTTGTGGCTTCTTCAACCTTAAGCTCTTTTTTCCTCTAGTGCGGCGGGCGTCTGCCATCTCTAGGTATGGACAATTTACTGAGTAGTGCACTCTGAGATGTTTCTAAACTTTAAATAAGTCACCCCTCGCCCGTTGGACATTTTCAATCAACTGACAGTCTCTAATATTTCCCGGGGATCAGACGGGGTGACAGTACTCCAGACGGGGAAGCACCTCGCTCTTGAGTAGTGTTACGAGAGACGGACGGTCTAGATATGTACGCTTAGTTGCTTGATTCACCTTCTCGCAATGGCCCGAGAACTTCAGCTCATTGTCAACTTACACACCCAGGTTCTTTTCACATTCAGTCTATTAATGAAGTTTTTCCGTCCTGTTGGGGCATGTGATACGCCTCCTTACTGCTGGTACGACCCAGATGCATCACTGAACAGTCATTTCTTGGACCACTCTTGAAGCTGACAGAGATCTTTCTGTAACTCTACACAGTGTATAGCTTCTGGCATATCATTTATGAAACAGACAGAAAACAGCGGGCCCAGTACACTGCCCTGTGGTACTCTGCTAGACACAACTACACATGACGATTTCGTACCATTAACCACCACACGCTGATTACAGTCATGAAGACAGTTTCTGCCACACGCAAGGACACTTCCCCGTACCCTTCCAGTTTATTTCTCAGCCTTTCATAGAGTACGCTGTGGAAAGTCTTGGCACAGTCTAGATATACAGAATATTATCGGTATAACCACCAGGATCCGTGTCCACACATGAAGTACCTTAATTAAGTGATTGCGTCAAGCGGGAGCGTTCCAGCATAAAACGTGTTGGCATTTCTTCACAAGGTTGTTTCGTAGCAGATGTTCCACCATGGCATCTCTTATAATGCTCTCTAGTACTTTACACACAATGCTGATTCGTGGAGTGACGATCGTCCCTCTTGAATATAGGACTCACATCAGCCATCTTCCAGTCACAGGGGACCTTTTGCTCACCCAGGCATTTACAGAACAGGATATTAACTAGCCCGGCAAACTTGTTACAATTCTCTCAACACTGGGATGCACCATATCAGGGCCGGGACTCTTATGAACCTTTAGCCTTTGTCAATTTGTTCAGTTTTTCTCCTCAAACGCTGGGAGGTTGTTCACGCCATCTCTTGTGAACACTTGAGGGAACGAGGTGCTACTATACTACACACACACACACACACGGGTTAAGTATGTGCTTCCTACTTAACTATTGTTGATGTGGGCATATTGAGGATATGCCCCATTAGTATTCTCTCTCTCTCTCTCTCTCTCTCTCTCTCTCTCTCTCTCTCTCGTAAGTTAATTAATTTAAAACTATAATATAATTCTTTAAGTGTTATATTCCCCTTAAGAAATTAAATGAGATAAATTATTGTTAGTTTTATAAAGTTGTTTTATTAGTGAGGAATATGAGGCGTTAATGATTGATAGACAGGCAGATAAATTTTTAAACCATTGTAACTTACGTCTAAAAGCCACTATAGTTAATTGCCGTTCAAACCACTCTAATTGACCTTGTGTGGTCGGCAGATGGAGAATGGAGGATATGTGAAGGAAGGTACTGGAACCACCTGTCATAACCAGGACATACAACCATCTGCCCCGGCCATATATACTGTCCAGGTACTGTCTTGGTACTGTTCAGGCATTGTCCCCAGGTACTGTCTCCGGGTACTGTCTGTGTATACATGATGAAATATCCATCCATCCATCCATCCATCCATCCATCTATCTATCCATCTCACCATCCACAGCCGGACCTCTCCTCACCGCCAGCAAACTGCCCCTGTGTTGAGAGTACCGCTGTATGTAACTGCAAGAGTGACGCTCCACCCAAGTCTAAGGTCAGTTATGTGTTGTTATGTACAAGGGCCATAATACATACACCCAGGGCCATAACACATATACACGGGGCCATAATACATATACACGGGGTCATAATACATATACACGGGGCCATAATACATATACCCAGGGCCATAATACATATACCCAGGTCCTTACTACATATACCCAGGGCCATAATACATATAAACCTGGCCATACTGTTGTGATAATATTATGAGTAATGTTATATACGTGACAATGAGCATCAACACTTACTTTTTACTTAGTTCTTTTGCTTTCACTTTCCTACTCAGGTTGAACTACTTACGTGGGTTAGACCAAAAGGTTGGCTCCTGCTAGGCATAACGGTGGGGTTCCTCGCCTGGTCTGCCATCTTCTTCACGCTGGTTTCTCTCAACATAATCTAGCCCAGGACGTAGCAGTTTGGTGTTTTCATTCCGTAAAATCATCGTATATGTTTACATGGGTTCGTGATTATTTGTTATTGTGCAAGAAAGTGAATGTGGATAGAGGAATTGGTTAATCATGGCGACATCACATATTCAGCGGACAATGGATTCAGAGCCAAATGAAGTGATAATGAAAAATGAATTAAACACAAATGAATTTAACTGCACGGATAAAAAGACCAACCATCAGGAAACTACAAAAACAAACAGGGAAGAAGAATTAACAGACAATACCAATATTCGACAAAATAAAGGAAATAACACAGTCACATATGAAAAGGAAGACGTTATTGATGTAGGAGTAACTATGGGAAATGGAAATAGTGTTGAAGAACCTCTGGATTTGACCTGTAGTACGCCCACTCAACAAAACGTGAGTATTTATGTAAAGTAATTATCAGTTTAGTATAGTGGAACCCCTACTTAATGTACTATATGGAGAGGGAATGCCATTATATTGAGGGTCTGTTAGATGTGAAGCCTCCACCTAGCAAACTATATATCCCTCCAGTGACTTGTTGAATATTATGAGATTCAGCCAATCCGTGCCTATCATACTGACTCCTTCATTTACTCCACAGGTACATGTCTGTCAGTCTTGCCAACACTTGTACAATGAGACCCAAGGAGTTGTTCTCACGGCCAATACCCTCCACACCACCCATCACCATGTCCCTAGCTATCATGAGAGATCTTTCCTTCAACCAGTTAAATCATGGAAAACTTGTAGGTATGTAGTGTATCAGTGAGAATTAGAGGATTACAAACCCTGGCCTATTTCATCTGAAGGTTTACAAATCTCCATCCCTGGCTGGTCGCCGAGATATGCTGAGGACTGTCATTTGGTTGAAAATGTCCAAAGGAGGGCCACCAGACTGGTGTCTGCACTCTGGCACCTCAGTTACCCAGGGAGATTTGAATGCCTGCAACTGCCTAGCTTTTCCTCTAGACAGGCAAGGGAGGACTTAATTAAGTTTATAAACATCTCAGAGGACATTCAGTTGAGTGTTTATACAGTATTTGGAACTGGCAGATACTTGCCCCTCTAGAAGTCACAGCTCAAAGCTGAATAAGCCATAAGTTTGGAAAATTGTCAGGGGAAAATTTTATGGAGTGAGAGTTGTGAACTCTTGGAACAGTCTGCCAGAGAGTGTTGTTACTGCACCGAGTGTGAGCTGTTTCAAGGTTCAGACTTGACCAACACTAGAGCAGGTTCAAATACATTCAGGAACCAGTTCTTGCCAGTACTTGCCAACATTGTGTGTAACAGAGATGTGACCGACCACCCAAGTGGCTAACGAGCCGATCAGTGGCGAAGAGGATAAAAGTAAAAGTAAAGAAGCACACTTGAGTGTTTATCAGAATCACTTATAAATAACTTTCTCTTCAACAGCTATGATGGTCTGTTTGACTGCCCAGAGAGTCAGTGTAGCACCTCCGGGAGACGACCTTCTGTGTGGCAGCGTCTCCTACCCCGCAATGAACCTTGGTGGCCGTACGTCAAGATCACGGTGCTGGTCATCTGCGCCATCTTGCCGTTTGCGTTCCTGGTGGTGTATTTTATCTTTGCCTACAAGAAGTAAATGTGTCGACCCTCGGAAAATTCCCTCCCCTATGGGTTTACGAGCTGAGTTACATTTGCCATGTGGGGTTAAAACCAACTTAATACTTTTGTGTATTTTGATGATTTTAATGATCCAGCCGTGACCCTAGTATCATTTACTGTCCCTCTTGATGACACGACCTTTATTATTGAGAATTTAATAACTCCACTTTGACTTTAACTTAAAATTTAACTTAATAATTCCTTTGATCTATAACCTGTGTATAAAAATGTTACTTCATAAAAGAGTGTGAGATGGAAATGCAGTTATGACCAAGTTGTAGTCATCTGAATTATTACCCACATATTGTTGGTAAAGTGGAACCTCCCTCTCGCTCGCTACCTGTATATAGAGAGGAGAATCCATAAGATATGAAGCCTCTATCTAGCTCATATATTAACTAGAGTGATGAACATGACAAAACAAAACAGTTATGCGAAGATTCCACAACTAAGAGATCATCAATATAATGTACAGTCGGGGTCAAAAGTTCGTCGCGGTAAAACAGATTCACGGGAATGGGTCTCCGAACTGACTTGCCCTAGCTATTGTATCTCGTTTGGGGTCACTGTAATTATTGACATTGTGTTTTTACTGTATACATTATTATTTTTTCCATTATAAATTATGCTATATATTTACTTAAGAGAGAGAATATAAATTAAATACATAAGAAATTGACCTAACTTAACCTACCCTCAAAATAGGATGTTGTCTTTTAAAGGGTAATGTCAGAGGCCCAGAACTTCCTCCACACTTAGTTTTAGTCTCGTACTGCACACTATAAACGTCTTCCATAAACCGTGCCTGATGTAATGCCTTAACATGTGGTTCTGTTTCATGTTTACAATTATATTAATCATAATTCCAATTTCAGAAAAAAATATATAAATTTTCAGTAGAATAATGTTATCCAGATGTAAAGTTAACACATAATATAGTTCACATTTTACCCATATATACAGGGTGACTCAAAAAGATGTACAGTACAGTATAGTATAGACTGCACACTGACTACAGATACATGTATTTGTTGCAATTGCATGAATGTTGTTGTTGTTATCATTATCAGTGTTTAATGGCCATTTTTCACACTTGCATGGGTTAATTGCAGTTACCTGATGGCAGCTCTCCATGTTGCACCATCTGTTGCAGTCTTGTCAGGTTCCTAACTCAATGGCATTTCTTACAGCCTCACCCCATGTCATTCTTGGCCTGCCCCTGGCTCTCCTCCACTCCACATTGAGGGTCATGCATCTCTCGGCCCCAGTTGGTTTCACCCATTCTCTCCACCTGCCTGAACCATCCCAACCTGCCTCTATGCAGGACTTCACCAACACTCTCAATACCCAGCTGCCCTCATAGCTACATTTCTTCATCACTTAACACATCCACCTCACCATTCTCATTTCAGTTCACTCAAGTCTGCTTATGTCACTGCCCATGTGTCACTGCTCATCCCACATCTCACACCAGCCACATATATCCTTTCTTTCACTTGTAGGGAAGGTCTTCTTGCTGTTAATAAAGGCAGCAGCTTCCTAAACATCCCCCACCCACTTTTGACTCATACAACTGATCAGGCTTCAGCTTTGATCATGTCACCCAGGTAACAGAACTGATCAACACAGCCTGAGGACATATCTCCTATGTTAAGTTTCTCCAGCCTTGCTCTGGCCAGTCTGCCGTCTATTCCACTGCACCTCTTGTGTATGCACCTTCCACTCTCACTGTGCTTGATTGAATTGCTACCAAAACCTTTCTTGTAACACTGTACTACAAGATTTCATGCAATCTCTACAAAAATTTAGAAGGCAGTGTGTATACATATATTTTTTTGTCACCCTGTAGTTGCTAGAAAATTAAATACTGTAGTTAATGAATAAAGAAATAAAGTTTTATAAATTTGTTATCTAATTTTTAAAGGAATTACTCCTATGTATTTCTTAAGAGACCAATATTTTCATAAAGTGTATTTTATAAACTCGATATAGTACAGTAAAATACTACAATACTGTACTACCTGTATACTGTATCATGTTGAGAAGTGATAGACTAGTGTTTGTCACACCTCCTATGGGTAATATTCTCCTCTTGAATGTTACCAACACTTATGTTTATGGATCACCTGACAATTAGCCTTCCCCGACCTTATTTCACCTTAATGCCAACCTAACCACTCGCCCCTCTCCTAGGTAGCATTAAGATGACATAAACAGGGGTCAGGCTGACCTTTTTTTGTTTTTCCTCAGTCTGGCAAACTCTTATCCACGAGTGAGAACAGTAGCAGGAATTAAAAGCAACTCTCCCTCTCTCTCTCTGTGCTTGCTGTTATAACACATCTTTTATACTTGTGATTGATGGGAGGTTCTGTGTTGCTGTTGGCTACAGTCTCAGTACTGGGAAAGGTCTTGCCAGGAAAAAATTAACACTATGTATATTGGAGTTGTAATTGTGCTGTATATATCATCTTAAACAGTAGTCAGAGTATGTCTTTCAAATTTTCTTAGTTGTTTTTATTGTTAATCTCTATAAAATGATTTATACTTTTATAAATGTTTTAATACACTCAGTTGAATATATAAAATGTCCTATACTGATAATACTGTATTTTACCATTTATATTCTGATCACCTGAAGATTAGACCCCTCAGTTTATTTTACTTGATGATTAAACACCCTAATGCTACTCATGAACCCGAACCAAGAAGCAGTGATGTACTATTCTCTCCATAAAGGCTTCGGGTTCACACTTCTGAATCTCTGGGTTTGTGGTTCGGGAGGAGAGGCGATGGGACTTAGTGGGTGACTGTACAGTACTTCTTTACTCTGACAGATCCCATTAAAACTCTTATCTCAGGTTAATATTAAATAACACATATCATTTCCTCTGTTTATTAAGAATCATAAGTTGAATATATATCATATACAGTACATAAATATTAATGTATATGATTATACCTATATATGTAGTAGTGTGTTTCCTATGACAAACACAATATAGGAATGTTTCTTTATGGAATTACAATTTTAATTATAAGGCACAAAGCAGAAATCAAATAAATACCTCCATGTCAAATTTGTATAATAATTTTTAATTATGTAGTTCTTATTAACAAGTTTTAATTCAGGTGAACATTAGGCATCCCAGCTTATTTTTTATTAGTTTTAAATGACCGAATGCTACCTGGGGTTTGGTCAGGTTAGTGTTAGGTTAGCATTAGGGTAGGTAATCTTAAGGTGAAATAAACTAGGGGGACTAATCTTCATATGATAAAAAAAAATATCCTGTACTATAATATATCTGACTTCCCTATGAGATGAAAAGCAAAATGGATACAACAGTGACCGCACAGACGACTCAATACACCTTTTGTTTTAACCAGCGGACACACTTAATACTTGAGGCACCAGTCAGTTGTATCAAATACTAACTCAGAAGATTTCATCACTTAATTTCCTCTGATAAAATTCCAGTATTATGTATAGAAACTTTTTTTTTTTTACATTAGGTATTCTATGACTAATTTTGTAACCAGCAGCCACAGTTACAGACATTCCCCAGGTTACAGAAGGGTTGCCTTCTTGTAATGCGAAATTCTGTAACGTGGGACTAGTTTCCCCATCGACTCTCATTACATAATTTGAGATTCATTTCCAAGGATATTTTTTCGGCACAGAAATGTAATGCAAGCAGATAAAATATGAATGAAAATAAACAGTTTTAAACATATTTACATGAGGTTAAATGAGGAGAAACTGTACAATGAGTGTGGTAGTGTGAGTGAGTGGTGGTGTGAATGAGTGAGTGTGGTGGTGTGAGTGATGAGTCAACTTGTCCACAGTGAGTTTGAGGAGTAAGTTATGTGGTGATGGTAGGAAAATAATGACTTAATAACATCGTGAATGTTAGACAATAATGCAGTAAGTTACAGAAATAAATAAGCATATTGGTAATAAAAAAGCCTGTATTACTTTAGCATATTTTCATTATTAATTGGAAAAATTAAAAAAATTCCTCTTTTTTTTTCATATATAAAATCATGGGACAAATTTATGTTTTGTAAAAGGAGGAATGCCTGTACAGTACAGTACAAACCTGCACGAATATAATACACTGTACTGTATATATAGTGTACACCCTTGCAGAAAACAAATCCCTGTTTGCAGGGTTACTTAAGCTCATCATTAAGCTTTAAACTTTATATAATTTCCCTAAATTACTTCTCAATGATGGAGTAAAACTTTTGGGACTAAATGGTAATGACTGCCACTTACTACCATTTGGATATCTGCTCAAGCCAACTTCCAGCTTCCATAAACACTGATGATGACAACAAGACACAATCAATCCTGGAAAACAGAAGAGATGAGCTGAGCGCCGGTGGTGGTGTTGGTGGAGGCCACAATAATTCTGGTGGCAGATGTTAGAGCCAACAGTCTGAAAGCTGCAACTTCAGCAAAGGTTAATCCACCCAGAACCACCACCAGCGCTACGCGAGGACCGGCCGGGGAGCCTGCAGACGGTGAGGTGATGACTGTGCTGCCGGGAAGAACCTTCAGATTATCCAACAGAGACTGACCGCCTCGTCCATTAAGAGCGTCGCCGACCACTTTGGGGATGGCCGGCGTGTAAGCACCGTTGAAAACATAACTCAGGTGGGTAGGGTTGTGGAGATCGACTGGCTCGTCTGCGTCAGGAATGAGCTTGAGACGTTTTGCAGCCGAACGCCAACCAGAACCCTTTTTAGGTAAGAGAGATGTTACTTGTGCGAAACGATCCTGCAGGGGAGCAGTACTCCCGCTTCCTCCACCACCGACGCTCGGCGAGTCCACAACGGCGAGTATCCCGAGCTGACGGAGATGATGGAGAGTGACCAAGTGTTTATAACCATGAGCCATCAGCACCTGGGAGGAGAACTCTTCGTATTCTCGGCGGGTGATGCCATCTTGTGTCAGTGTAAGGAGGCACAGGAGACGGAGATTAGTGGCAAGAGGCAACATGCGAGCTATGCAATTTTTAATATACTTCCGTGCCTTCCCAGAGTTTCCCGCCCCGGTCACCAATCCGTGTTCTGTCCCCAGTCGCGTCTCAAAGTCCCGGGGCATAGAGTTTGTGATGGTCTCGCATGCTTTTAAATGAAGTCCAAGTGTTGTCTGCAGAGCCTGTAGTGTACGCAGCTCATTCGCCACAAAATCTCTCATCTGTCCCGTAGTCATGGTCTGAGCCTGATCTTTCTTGGCTTTCACCTCTCGTGCCCTCGTGATGAGATAGTTCGACACGCCGGCAAAGTGTCGGTTGCGGATGTTGTCGTAAATGGTGTCTTTGCTGTTGAGCGGAACCTTACGGGGAGCGTCCTGTCCCACGACATCCGTAGGGAACTCCACCACCCCGGCCTTGATGCCAAAGTGTTCGTCTATCACGCCTTCGTACGTCAGCTGGGTGAGGAGCGGAGTTACGTAGTCGGCGTCACGATCAAAAATAAAAAGATGGCCAATTTCTGGTGTCTGAAAACAAATAAACAAACAGACCTTCAACACAATGTTTACAAAGGAGTTTAATTATCACTACATCATGAGCTGTAAAAAAAAGACAATTGCTTTATTACCGGATAACTACAGTGCCGGCAGAAAACTGATTTAAGATGTCTGAAAAATTCTGTTCCACATTTTGATTTACAAGCAAAAAATCTGAAGTTCTGATTTTGTGTTATTTTCTTGCTGTTTTCCATCATTTTTTGGCAGCAGTGGATGATATATATATTTCCAGTGATTTGTGGTGTCTGAATAAGTCAGTAACAGTAGCACGAACATTTGCTAGAACAATAGTAATAGTCGCTAAGAGAGCCTCCTAGTTAACACAGACAGCCTCCTAGTTAACACAGGATTGGTAAAAACAGCCCAAAACACAAAGTGGAGGACTGGTTGCCAACCCTCAGTTATGAAGATGCTCCTATCTGGCATAACTAAGCACCTACCTAGAGCATTTTGTCCCTCTATGCTCCTATCTGGCATAACTGACCACATATCTGGAGCATTTTGTCCCTATATCCTCCTATCTGGCATAACTAAGCACCTACCTGGAGCATTTTCTTTGGGGAGTTTCGGTCAGTCAGTGCCTGGAGGGCGTTGATGACGGCCTTAGCAGCTCTGCCATGAGCGAGCACATTAGGGATGCGACCATAAAGGCCTTGTAAGGTGTTGATGGCTCTGGCTACACTCATACACCCTGAGAAGTCTCCCTCCAGGAACGCATCTCTGAAAACAACACATTTGATGAATCACCAGAGGATTAGCCACCACAGTTTATTTCACCTGAAGATTAACCTCAGCTTATTTCATCAGAAGATTAACCCCCAGCTTATTTCATCAGAAGATTAACCCCCATCTTATTTCATCTGAAGATTAGCCACCACAGTTTATTTCACCTGAAGACATAAGGACCCACCTGAAGACATAAGGACCTACCTGAAGACATAAGGACCTACCTGAAGACATAAGGACCCACCTGAAGAAGTTAGTCATCTCCAGAGACAACAGATCATCATCGAGTGGGATAAAATCAGGTGTGAACTCATGGAGTGTGACGGCCCCATAGAGTCCCTCCTCCTCCAGTAGTGCTGTCACCCAGGACACCAGACGAGGCACCACCACGATGTGAACACTGGAAGAGTAAACCACCATGAAGGACAACGACCCACAGTAACTACCCAACAACACCTCCATGAAAACTGATTAAATAACAGATAAAAATGATCCAGTGTTGTGTGTTTATTTACATACCACATAGTTACTAACCTTACACACATCTCAAGGCCTTGTTACTGTAATAATCTTATGAGGAACCAAATGAGGTGGTTAAATAATATGCTCCCCTTCCCCCCCCCCCCTTATAACAATACTATACATGTATATAAAGAAAGTTTGCTAAAAAGATCCACTGTTTACATAGTCAACTTACCGCACGTCCGGGTGGTTGAGTTTGTCAGTATGTACGTGGTCGGCGACGTACTTGAGAGGCACGAGGGATGGTCGCACGACATAGACCCGCTGACCGCTCTGTACAGGGGGAGGCAGCCGTTCCAATTTATACATCTTCTCTACCCCATGACTCCTGCAACATACACACATGATGACTATACAATATACAGAGGCAGAGAGAAGTTCACTATACAATACACAGAGGCAGTGGGAAGGAATTTTAAACATTTACTGTAATAACACAACTGTATCTACCGGTACATAAAAATACACAATAATTTATGGCTGTTTCACTAACCTCACTATCAGCACCTCAACCTTATTTAGTAATATTACAGTAAACAACAACCACAGAAATCCCTGAAGGTTAGGTGAATATTTGGTTGCTGTAATCTGCAATTTTACCCCTTTTTTTGAAGTGCAGTAGTTAGGGAACTCTACAGATTCCAACAGTCTGTCATATCTACAATATTCTCCTTAGAATTGACCCAGAAATACTCTCTGTAATTTACTTATGCACTTCAGAATTACCCTGCTGAACTGTATGCTACTGTACCTGTATTATCTATATACATACTGAACTATAGAGTAACATACTATGGTAACTTTAGATGGCACAAGTAGAGCCAAGACCGACCTTAACAGCGTCGCTCCCGAGATACGATCGAGCATCTTCATGAGATCACCATCAATGATCAGATCCTTAGCTCCCGGCGCATCTTCCAAGACTCTCACCAAACGATCGCTACTCAGGCGTCGCAGGATCTCTACGTCCAACCCGAGAGTCCGAGGCTCAGACATTTTTATTTTTTCCCTTTACTCGTGTGACTTGGGAGACAGAGAGTTGGAGTGGTGTCTTGTGTGTCACCTTGCTGAGACGTCCACTGAGCTGTGATACATCCTGACTCGTGTTCACCTTCTACCTACAATAATAATGATGATAATTTATACCATAATAATAATAATTAGGCAATTTGATTAAAGATAACCAATAAAGCCACCAGATGCTTCTACAGTACATCAGATATAAGTTTTGTTAGGTGAAGTATTATTGACGTTAAATATTATTACTTTGAGCCAACAACTGAGGTCCTTAAGTGCATAAAAAGGTTAGTAATTACACTCGTTTACCCAGGGACTGCAGAACAGAAATAAAGTCACAATTTTGGCTAGGGAAAAGTAACAGGAAAAAGGTCAGGTTGGGTTAGGTTGAAATGTCTTTCCGATGGTTGTTGAAGTGTTCTGAACAACTTCCAAATAGGTGGATGACCGAAACGATAAATTCACCTAAGTAAGATTTGGTTAGGTTATATGGATTTTTTCCCGTTTTTATATTTTTGTCCTGGGTTCTGGCCGCGCACCTCACCTCTCCGCTAACTCCCATATAACATAATTTCCGGTTTAATACTTTTATTATACTTGAGAGATAAAACCATATGAGATTCAGTAGATTTCTTACAGGTGAAAGTATCAATAGCTAACAAAGTAATGGTTTATAAGGGCAGCTGCCAAAGATGTTTGTTGACACTCACAGCTGATGATGGCGATTCAATAATTAACTTTTTATTATTATTTAAAATCCCTCATTAAAATGAATACAAATTAAATATAATATACTATCTACCTTACGTTGTTAATAATATCTACTTTCTGGTGAATATAATTAATCTTTGTTATTTTATTTCACTTCTGAATCGTAATATTTACTTCCTTTTAGTTTAATATATAATAAATATATTTATATACCATCTAGGCATATATATAATAAATATTATAAAATAAACTTCCAAAATAAAGTAATTAATCGTTTTTTATGTATTTATCTAGAGAAATATGTAAGATAAGATAGATAATATAAGTTATAATAAAGATAAAGGAATGGCTGGAGAGAGGCAGCAGTAGTGTGACAGCAAAGAGGAGGAGAAGGACGAGACGTTCTTCCTCTTATATAAACATTTACAACAATATATCTCTGTACTCACCACCACCACTCATAACTAACACTCCATCCCTCCATACTGTCGTGAAGTAACCGTGTAGTGAAGTAACCGTGTAGTGAAGTAACCGTGTAGTGAAGTAACGGAAGTAGTATCACTTGTGGGAGAAAAAGACACCATCAACCATATCCAGTTTAAGAGGTAATTATATAATGTTTTTGTGGTATAACTCCTGAGTGTTTATTAGTGTTATCATTAATGTTGTGTCCTGGTTATAGGTTAGGAGTTGTGAGCTAATTAATCATGGGAGATTGGATAACCTTGAATGTTGTGTAAGTTGCTGTTACGTGTGCGTATGTATGTATTTGTTTATGTATGTGCGTATGTCTGTATGTGTGGTTATGTATGTACATGTGTGTGCGTTTGTCTATGTATGTATGTGTGTGTCTATATATGTATTTATGCATATATGTACAGTATGTGTAATAATAATAATTAACGGTTTATTGAAAAAAATTCTGCAACCCGAAGGCTGTATATGTGTGTGTGTATGTCTGTGTGGGTTAGGTTCATCTCGTACCCAAGACAACGGTGCACCTCCAACTCGGCTCACTTATTACTAACTCGGCCCATTTATTACTACCTCGGCCCACACAACCAACTCCTGCCCACACATTACTAACTCGGCCCACCTTGCACGCTTCAAACAAGAAGCTTCTCCAGGTGGTTTTGAGTAGGGTTTGAAATTATTGCTTCAGTAATTTGCCTACAATTGATGTTAAACTGATTGGACGGTAGTTAGAGGATAGTGATCTATCTCCCTTCTTGAAAATCTGTATTACATTCGCTATCCTCCAGGATTCTGGTACTACACCTGTTTTTAATGACATGTTAAACAAATTTGCTAAGGGCATACTAAGCTCTTCCTTACATTCCTTTAATACTCTGGCAAATATCTCATTGGGACCAGGTGACTTATTAGGCTTTAGTTTGTCTATTTGCTTACTAACATCGTTACTAGTCACTATTATCTCGCTTAATTTATTTCTTCACTATCTGTATATACTCGGTGCCTCGGGTATCATTTTTAAATCTTCCGTGGTGAAAATTGTTGAAAAATACCTGTTCACATAATAGCTCATTTCTCCGTCGTTATCTGTTAGCTTGCCGGTGTCTGACTGTATTGGTCCAATCTTTTCTCGTGTTTTAGTTGGATACATTTGAAAGAATCACTTGGGGTTTAACTTTGCCTCCCTTGCTACCTTCAGTTCATTATTCCTCTTTGCTTTTCTTATCTCGGTCTTAACCCTACTGGCCAATACCTTATAATAATCACGGAGGTAAACTTCACCATGATTTATTCTCCTACCTATAGCCTTCCTTTGTCCAATAATATTCTTTAAATAATTATTTATCCATTTCGGGGAATTGTTGTTTGAAATGAATTTTCTGCGTGGTATGTTCTGCCTTTGTGCATTAAATAACTCATTATTTAAATTGTTGTGGAACTCATCAACCTCAGATCTCGTGATCAGGTCATCCTCAACCGTCATTTTTGGGAGGTTATCATTGTCAGGTCTCCAGGTAAAGTGATCTTAATAAGATAGAATGAAAAGATAAATAATAACAAATCTATGCTGCTTTTTATCATTGTAATTTTATCATTCAGGCAAAAATGTGTAAACTATTACTTTTACTTTTTAGTCCGAGTTCATTAATCTAAGTGGTCCGAGTTGGTTATCTGAGACGGTCCGAGTTGGTATTTGATGGTCCTAGTTGGAGGTGGGCCAATATGGACTGTAACCCAAGACAACTCATACCCAAGATAAATCCTACTCAAAAAAGTTAACTCGTAACCAAGATTACTTGCACTTAATTCAAGAGATAATCTATACCTATTAGTATATGTACCATGCATAGGTAGCTGTTGTCACAGCGTTATTACCAACCATTCACGGATTAAGGGAGGGGCCCTGGCCCCCCTCAGACAAGGGGGCCCCCCGAATGAAATAAAGATAGAATTGAATTTAACACAGTTTGGGGGAGTTGTATAAAATTTTAGCTTCACTTATGATTACAAAAAAAGATTATGAAATAATGAAATGTAATGCAGCACTTTATAATGGTTGCATCTCATTACATAAGTATGTTATTCCGTCACACAAACATTGCACTTCAGGTACATATTTCACACTGGTCGTAAGTGGAAAATGCTTCAATAATACATAGAAAATCTAAAATGGGTGTCTCTTTTTCTTCTCAGCACCATAAAACTCTCACTTTTAAGCTTGCCAGCCATTTTCAAGTGAATTACAAACAATAATTTTGTCACTACACAGCACAATCACTGACGTTGGAACTCGAAAATGCGTAATTTGACAAAATTTTGGTTCGACTGAGGCGGTCATATGTCCGGGTGGTCGTAGGTCGAGGAGTAGCTGTATTGTTTCTCACTCGATCTTTTTTTCATTTTTTTATATATTTATTATTATTATTCTAGTGTTGTTATTATTATTCTCATCATTATGAATTTATTATTTTATTTTAAATTTTGTATTTTTTATTAAAAATTTTATTTACCTGTACTATGAATTATTATTATTATTATTATTACTGTATTATTATTATTATTATTATTATTATTATTATTATTATTATTATTATTATTACTGTATTATTATTATTATTATTATTATTATTATTATTATTTATTATCATTATCATTATTATTATCATTATTATTATTATTATTATTATCATTATCATCATCATTATTATTACATTTTCGCCCCCCCCAGACCCCGATGTGGGATGTGGGTCAGTGACCTGTGCCGGGTAATCCCCAAAAAAATAATATTAAGCATGGATCACCTAAGGTTAACCACTGGGGGTGGGAGTTCTTGAGGTGAAATAAAATAGGATGTGTAATCTTGAGGTGATAGGAAGACTTGTTGCCTGCATCATCAGGAAGTTTTTGAGTATCTGAGAGTTTTGTGACTGCCTTGCCAGCTGTTCCTAGTGTGTTAGGGATGGCAACAGGCATTTATATTTTTCTACAATATGGCTGATGGCAACTGTGTCAGCAGAGTTGTGTTGGTCCATTTGTCTTCCATGTATTTTCTGGGTTTGTGGTGGTGTGTGTGGGGGAGACATCTCATTCTGGTTATACCTAACATCTGCCCATCAGGTAATCATGGCTAGCCCACACAAGTTTGGAAAATAACCACTTGACTAGAATAGTATTTTACATTGTGATAGAGAGAAATGACTACTGTATCTTGTTATCTATACTGATACAGGTACAAAAATCTAAATTATCATCTGTTGGCCCAGATACTGTACAGTATACAGTATGATCTTCACAGTGTTATCCAGTCTATAGTCACATGTGTACTGTATACTCTAGTAGGCAGGTGAGAGTGAGTGTAGAGCTACCACAAAAATATTAATCTTCTTGGTGATGTCAAGTCATACCTGAGAAATGATTTTTAATAACTTTCCAGGTAAGGATAGTCAAGTACTACCCCCCCCCACCCCTAAAATAATAATAATAATAATAAAAATAATAATAATAATCCTGCATCGTAAGTGTCCATGTTACTGAATGTTACTGGGGAAGGAAGTCATATTTAACATTAATTATGCCTTGGGTCACATGCAGTCCCCAAATGAACCCAATAATATACTAATTAAAATTTTGTGCAATTCTAACAAGTATAATTTACTAAAAACAAAGGAAAAAAAAAACTACAAAATCTTGTGATAGATGTAAAGTAACGGCCTATATGGTAAGTCAAAAGGCTGAAACAAACTCTCATTTGTGTGTGTCTCTTGTCCCAGCATTCATACCACCTACCTTATGTTATTTAATAATTGTGCCACGTCAAACATCATTTGTATACAATCTGGATTAAAAAAAATGCAACTGAGATCATTAAATAAAAGTTTAACTCAACCGTTGCGTAGACGCTGACGAAACAAAAACCATTGACGGTGCAGTTCTCAATGAAAATAAAACATTGGGAACTGGCACGGCTGATGAGGTAGATTGGAGTGGCATTCTGTTTCTTCCCTTAAGTTTTTACGCTGGATTTACGTTATCCCTTGACTCGGTACAATGAAGACACTGTACAATGAAGACGCTGTACAATGAAGACGCTGTACAATGAAGATGCTGTACAATGAAGATGCTGTACAATGAAGACGCTGTACAATGAAGACGCTGTACAATAATATGAAGAATAAGTTTGTTTATTTATTAGGCTTTGAGGATGATGAATAAAACCTTAATACTACATTGATTTATTATTTATTAATTTATTTTCTGCTTGTTGTGTATGGTACAGTGTTCAAAATTACAAAAGCATAAAAAAATGAGTTAGTGTACACTTCATCACAGTCTCAGGAATGGTTGCTGGCTGGTCGGCCTCAACGCTCACCATAGTAACACAGTCCAGCTGGGATGCTGCCTCTACCTACCACCTAGCAATGGGACTCCCTTACTATGCTCCCCCAGTCAGTGTACTAACTTCCGCACATGAAGAAAAGTTGATTCCCTTTATATTTTTGACTTAATGATAATTATTTTTTTACTTTAATTTTTTTTGCACATTCTTTAGCTATGTAGAATTATATGTGCATAAAATTGAGTAAAAAGAAATATGAAGAAAGTTACATATAGTATACACAGTATCCACCAAAATATGAGTCGAAAAATAACCATAACAGCTCACAGCTCGGCCTGGTTGGGTGAGGACGAGCAGGCCCGTCCTTTAGGGGGTGCGAACAGGGGCGACCGTCCAGGGCCGCGCGCATGTGGGGGTCCTGCGGGGCCCAGCACTAGACCCAGTGACCTCGGACACATTACCTGTTGACTGGTTAATCTGACCTGACGACTTACGCCACCATTGCAACCGTAACCTTACCATCCATAGCGACAGTCCCATGGGGGTTGGTGGGGGTGGGTTCCTCTGACCGCATAATCTGACTCCATAATCCATTGCACTCCACTCCACACAGCCAGTCCACCAGGGTCAGTAACCAGTGAAATCAGGTTGTGTCCTGTCCTGTGAGCTGTGACTCATGCCTTTTGAGTTTTGTGGTTGTGTCCTGTCCTGTGAGCTGTAGACTCAGGTGCCTAGTTTGATGTCTAATAATGTACAGGATGAATGTAACTTGATTTTGAGGTTGATAACATGTAAGTTATAACATGGCAAGCATAACAGACAGATCGCGTTATAGCAAACAGCACACAAATATTGTTCCGAATTCATCGCAGCACATATATATATATATATATATACGTATTTATTTATTTATTTATTTATTCTGGGGCCCCGCACCTTCCTAGGGACGGCCCTGAGGACGAGGGAGATGCGGGTAGTTATGAGTCTAACTTGGCATCAATGCTGCCAGTGATGTTAACAGATGCAAATGAAAAGAAAATCTTGTGTAAATTTTCATGTTCATCAGTTATTTGTAGATTTAAAGTGGCTTATATAGTGATTGTGGCTTTGCTCCATGTAACAACATAAAGAAAAACCTTGGGGTATGGTAGACAAGCCCAGGATAAAGGAGCTTACGGGTAAGGTTAGTCTACCATGAGCATGTACTGTACTGGGTAGTGTCGTTCACCGTAAATGATCCACGGCAATGCATTATTATTATATATCCTGAACTTATGATTACCTACTGTATTCCTGTATTGTAATGTACTGTACTGTATTAAACAATACTGTACATGCACACAAAACAAGACCGTCATATTTTACTTGGCTCTGATGTTAAGACTTCTCACCACACGGAGGTTCAGGATGGGTGAAGCACAGTGGCTGTATGTGTGTTTTGGGATATAAAGTAAGAATTCAGCTTGTCACAAGTTTTATTTTGCCTGCCATAGCACCACACCATAGGGCTGAGTTCTGCATCTCACCATGTTGAGATGTAATGTAGTGTTTGCCAGTGTCTCTCCATCACTTTCTTCATCATGGATCACAAACTCCATCAATGTCGTTGTTTCTGTCCAGGAATCATATCACAAGACACGTCTGTTCTTTGTTAGCTGCTTCTGTAACTTGATTGGCCGATAGGGTGACCAGATTTAGGGACTTTTGACCTCTCTTCTGTAATCCTCTTCCCCCATCCGACCTCACTAACCAGCTCAGGTCACTTCCACACCTAGAACTAAAGTGCTCTGAGCCCATCACTGTGGGGGACTTAAATTTCACATATCTTATTTATTTTATTTATTTTTTTTTCAGTTTATGGTTGAACATTAACAATATATTTACCTTATAATAAACTTCATAATTTTTGCAGATTAGAACCCAGGAAGGAGAGACACACACACACACCCCTTAGTGTCAAGAGTTCGTCCATTATTGGTCCTCAAGAGACAAAGTCATAACAGCAACACAGCAGCCATGTCCAGCGTCAGATGGGGAGCGCGGTCACTGCAACGTCTTCTGTCTGTCAAGAACGCAAATGTTATAAATAGGAATGGTAAGTGCTTATGACAGGAGGATCACCTGAAGACTAGACACCCCTGCTTATTTTACCCAATGATTTTTAATGCATTACGGTACAAACTACTCATTTCATCGACTGCTTTCCCTGCTCAGGTCTGTTGTGTGTACGTGTGTTAGAGCACCAGCCCAAGAGGTGTTCCCTGGTGCTCGTGCGGCCCGTATCTACTGCTGCCGTGAGCTGCCAGTCCTCTACCGGGCCCCCAACGGATGGCAGCGGCGGGGACGATGGTGGCAGCGACAAGGACACACAGAAGAAGAAGAACGAGAAGAATCAGTTGTGTTGTCCCAAGTGTGGTGATCCTTGTACCCACGTTGAGACCTTTGTATGTAAGTGTGTGTAGGAGAGATGTTGGCAGATAGTCTGTCATGGGAGATGTGGAGGAATGTTCTTACAGCCACTTTGAGATGTGTAGGAATATTATTAGCCACTTTGAGATGTGTAGGAATATTATTAGCCACTTTGAGATGTGTAGGAATATTATTAGCCACTTTGAGATGTGTAGGAATATTATTAGCCACTTTGAGATGTGTAGGAATATTATTAGCCACTTTGAGATGTGTAGGAATATTATTAGCCACTTTGAGATGTGTAGGAATATTATTAGCCACTTTGAGATGTGTAGGAATATTATTAGCCACTTTGAGATGTTTAGGAATATTATTAGCCACTTTGAGATGTGTAGGAATATTATTAGCCACTTTGAGATGTGTAGGAATATTATTAGCCACTTTGAGATGTGTAGGAATATTATTAGCCACTTTGAGATGTGTAGGAATATTATTAGCCACTTTGAGATGTGTAGGAATATTATTAGCCACTTTGAGATGTGTAGGAGTAATCTCACACCGTTCATATTTCTCGATAGCTTCTACTCGCTTCGTAAAGTGCGAGAAATGTCATCACTTCTTCGTGGTGCTGTCGGAGGTGGACTCGAAGAGAAAGAAAAAGGAGAAGAGAGAAGACCCTAAGGCAAACTTCAACCGCAGACCTCCGCCACCCCCGAAGAAAGTCAGTGCTAGTCAGTTATGGCCTCGGTGTAATGCTGTGAAAACTCATTTATCAGACTATGACACTTCCATGACACACTTACAATCAATAATACACTCATACAATCCAGGTACAGTTGCCAGCAAAAGTGTTCCTCTCACAACTTGCTACACAGGGCCGTGAGAGAGCTTTTGCTGGCAACTGTACTTTAACATCTTAAATTAGGTATGTTGCATTTTATTTATTTATCCATTCATTCATTTATTCATTTATTTATTTATTCATTTATTTATTTATTTAGATATTATTTATTCATTTATTTATTCATTCAGATCTACGAGTACTTGGATAAACATGTGGTCGGACAGGAGCGAGCCAAGAAGGTATTAAGTGTTGCCGTCTACAACCACTACAAGCGCATCTATCACAACATCCCACAGTCTAAGGCTGATCCTCTGCACCTCGACTCTGCCAATATTCCTCAGGGTCTCACCAATAGGGGTACGCATGGTATCCCCTCGCCTTTTGTTGTCTCCCAGCCTAGGGTGATGATTAAACACCTCGATGCTAACCTAACCAAACCAAATCTAACTAACCTAACCTACCTAGCCAAATCTAATCTAACCTAACCAAATCTAACCTAATCTAGGATTGGTGGACACATTAAGATCACACTCTCCTGATTAGTTCACCTGATGATCACACACCTCAATGCTAATCTAATCAAACCTAACCTGACCTAACCAAATGTAACCTAACCCCCCCCCCCCTAAGGTAGCACTCGGTCATTTAATCATAAGGTGAAATAAACTAGGGCGTGTAATCTCCAAGAGCGATTTAAAATGTAGACCACAATTAGCAAGGTTAAGTTAGATTTAGTTAGATTACATTATGTTAGATTAGGTTATTTTAGATTACTTTGTTAGATTAGGTTTGGTTAAGTTAGGTTAGGTTAGGTAAGCAATTAAATATAGATGTGCTGTAGTATTGATCTACATATCAACTAATACTTAGCTTTTATTTACTGCTGCTAGAAATTAGGACATTAGGTAGGTGTCCAGTGTATAATTACTACTTGAATTATGGTTTTCTGTGCAGTGAAACCTCCTATCTAATGAACTATATAGAGATGAAAGTCCTCTATATCGAGGGTCTGTTAGATGTGAAACCTCCATCTAACAGATTACATGGAGAGAAAAGTCCAGTATAGGGAGGTTTTACTGTATTATCGTAGTAGCTTTATGTAGAGTAGTTACGTCTTGGTGTCTGGGAAAGGAGGGTGGGAGAGTCTGGGAAAAGGAAGGATGGTCTGGGAAGGAAGGGTAGTGTATTGTGTGTTCTTGTTACCGGCTGTGTGTCGTAGGTCTTGTGGTAGTATTTTTAGGCTGCACTTGGGTGTGTGTAAGGGTGGCTCTCTGGCTCCTTCTTGCAGTCTAGGATTGGGGGATTAAGTTGTGTTTAAAAATGTGGATAATCTCACATCCCACAGCGTCTCATCAGCTTCATCTCTCCTTCAGATCTGTTGCACATTGCGGGCATTAGCCAGAGTCACGCATTAGGTGTGAGTGGCTTCCAGAATACTGACCAACAACAGCAGCAGCAAGATCCTCAGCAGCAGATGGAGCAGCAACAGCAGACAAAGAGACCCCTATCCAGTAACTCCCACGGCTCAGATATCCTGGATGCCACCACCTACTTGTTGAGACTAGAGAAGAGTAATATCCTCCTCCTTGGTCCCACTGGTTCAGGTACATCATTACTCTACTTTATTAAATGCATTAGGCACCCCAGCTTATGGTGATTTAACACCCTAATACTGCCTTTACCATACCTGACTTTGTGTAGGGAAGCTCCTCTTACTTTGAGCTTGGGGAAAAAATACCCATCTCTTGCCTACACTATTTTTTTTTTTGGCCCATTCATCTGATTTAGGGGAAGCTGGTACCTTTATAGATAGTGACAGGACCTTGACTCTATGTTGAAGGGAAGATTTATGTACGGTAACTGGTGTGAAAAGTGAAACCTGGGCAGTTGAAGAGGATGACATACACAGACCTGAGCAAACTGATAATGTGAATGGGGAGGTGGATGTGTAATGTGACACTGAAAGACAGGAAGCTTTGTTTATAGCTAAGAGAGCAGCTGGGTATTAAGAGTACAGTACTGTATTGGTCAAGTTTTGCATAGAGGCAGACCCCCACCCCACTCCAGGAAACACATTAAAGATATTACTGTATATTAATCACACTTAGAGAAAATATTAGTGTGCTCTTTGCCACATTGTCCTGTAAACACTGTCAGACTCTGCCTTCCAAATACCTAGACAGAGCAACATACACTATTCAGAAGTTTTGCCCTATAGGCTTTGTCCCATTGCTTCACATTATTGACTGTGTTTACAATGTTTATTTTATTTCTGTACGGTAAACTCGTCTATTTAACCGACTATATGGAGAGGAAAGTCCATTATATCAAGGGTCCATTAGATGTAAAACCTCCTAATAAACTATATTGATATGAAACTCCATTATACCAAGGGTCCATTAAGATGTAATACCCTCATATACCTCATTATATTGAGAGATAAATCCATTACATAAGAGTTTCCACCAAATTGTATTTCTGTTTTCTCTTCCAGGCAAAACGTTATTAGCTCAGACCATAGCCCAGTGTTTGGACGTGCCCTTCGCCATATGTGACTGCACGACACTCACTCAAGCTGGTTATGTGGGCGAGGATATAGAGTCGGTGATCGCCAAGTTGCTCCAGGACGCCAACTACAACGTCGAGAAGGCACAAACGGGTGAGCTGACGTGAATTATTGCAACGATTACTGATTGGGGTCTAGTATGTGGTCTGCTGTACAGGTTGTCTTGTAGGACACACACACACACACACACACACTGTACAGGGTGTCTCACTTTTTCCATCTCTTATTTCTGCTTCTCACTTCACTTGCTCCTTTTTCTCTCACTCCTCTTCTCTCACTTCTCTCGCTTTACTCACTCCTCTTCTCTCACGTCTCTCAACCATTGCCCTGTGTGTCTCATTTAATAACTATTATAAACTAAACCTATCAACACCTCGGGCCCCCCCCCCCTCTCTCTCTCTCTCTCTCTCTCTCTTTTTTCTCTTATCTATATGAGAGAGAGAGCAGTGAGAGAGAAAGGGGGGGGAAGAAAAGTGAGAAAGAAGAGGGAGAAAAGAAAGAAAGAAAAAAGGTAGAGAAAATAAAAAAGAAAGGGAAGAAAAGAGTAAATAAATAAAGAAAACAAAAGAGATACTCGATAACCTCAGACAACTGTTCCTCTCCAACAGGGATCGTGTTTTTGGACGAGGTGGATAAGATCGGGGCGGTGCCAGGAATACACCAGCTGCGGGACGTGGGCGGCGAAGGTGTACAACAGGGCATGCTTAAGGTCGGTTCTCTGCCGTAATACGTTGGTTGATTTATTCTCGTCGTTTTCATTCTGTTTGTTTTATTATGTTTTGTTTTTTCTTTGCTTTTTCCCCGTAAATTTTTTTTCCCGTCAATTTATTTCTTGTTTTTGTTTTTATTTTCCGTCAATTTATTTCCTTTTTTTTGTTTTATTGCCCGTTATTTTTATTTTAGCTTAACCTTTTAGCATTAATTATCTCCGACTTGGTTCACTTTAGTTCACCTGCTAGGTTCACTCCATGCCTCACTCCTGCCAGCTTATTTCACCTGAAGATGCGTTCCACCTTCAGCTTATTACAATGCAACACCTGTTATTATATAGAAGTGAAATATATGCATACATACACTCCCACTAACCACTGATGTAACGCAAAGATTCCCAACACACACTAACGAGACCTTTTCTCGATCTTGGAAGACTTGTGGTAGACAGTAAAAGAGCTGTAGATTAACCCAACACCTCAGTCCGCTTGCCAGTTACTCTACCTGCATTGATAGATTCTGCTCTAGGCTATGGTTACAAAGCTCACGTGAGAGTTTACAGCATTACACCTCCAGCCTTCTGCACCTCCACCATCATGCTGTAATGTTATCTTTACTAATGAAATGATTTTTATTTGATATTCTCAGTACTGTAGTTGGATTCATAATTTGTGAATGTAAACATGTATTTGTATACTGTGTAATATGAAGCGCTCAGATTGACAGTGACGAATCAACCAATGGCGCCCAAATCAGATTCTTGTTTCAACAGAAGGATGACGAGTAAACCCTGTATTGGGTAGAGAAAGAGTCGGGCTTCCTGTTGAAACAAGAAACTGATTTGGGCGCCATTGGTTGATTCGTTACTCAATTGGAGCGCCTCATATACAGTATTGCCTTTGGTAAACAGAGCCGTCCCTAGGGGGCTGCGGGCTCAGGGCAATTCATCCACTGCGGCGCCCCTTTGCATATACAGTATATATATTTATATGAAATAAGAGGTTAAAATTTATTTATATTTTTGTAGTTACACACATACTGTAATATACATATTATTAATTCCCCAATCATACTGTTACTATGCCAAGTATTATGTAATTTATTATGTTATAACATATTCTAAAAGAGAAATTTGTATATCTTATATTTGTGAACTGTAACAACTATATAGTATGCATTCATAATTTACTGTTATAGTCTAAAACTAGAAGAAGTGAAATTTACATCTCTTATATTTCGAACATGTTTATTTAATAATTTTGTCAACTTAAGCATCAGTATGTTTTCATGGAAATAAAGAACAGGTTTATTTTCACACTCAAGCATATGCACAGCTGTCTACTTTCTAAAATTCACTTTCCTCGCCTTTTTTGCAGCAAACTCTGATGTTAGATCCTGATAATCCAAACTTGCTGCCAATTCCTTTTTGATGGAGATCATAGCCAGTCCACTCGACCTCTCTTGAGTCATAGTTGTCCTTAGATAGTTTTTTATTAATTCAAGTTTGGAAAACTTCGCTCTCCTGATGCAACTGTGACTGGAATTGTCAACAAAATCTCTGATGCAATTTCTGTATTTGGGAAGGAACCATCAGGAGATTTTAGAAACTGGAGGACTTAAGTGCACTTTTTGTTTCTTGGGGAATGAGTTCTCGGAATACATGAAGCTCTGACAATAGGTCTTCGTAATCAATATCCTGAGAATCTCCAACACTCAGTGAGTTGTCCAAAGCTATACACTGTATTTTCATGTTGCCCTCTTTCATTTCTCGAAGTTTCTTCACTTCGTAAAGGAGACCAAAGTTACTGGCATATTCTTGCATCTGATTGAATCTTGTCGTCAGTGACATTAATGCCTGATCAACAGTAACCAAAAGTAATTTCTTTCAAATGTTTTCTCAGCGGAGTTTTGTTAATTATCCACACTGTTAGATGGAAGTTATTGTTGTTTCCTTTTCACTCGGCAATCTTTGAACACAGGTTCAACCTCCATCTCAGATGTTATTTCTTCTGCTGTCGTCTTGGCTGTGAGGCAAATCCAGTGTCCCTGTATTTCTGCAGGATCTCCTTGAATGTGCTTGACAGCCACATCTAGCTGCATTTCTCTGGATTGAAGAGTCTTACTCACAGTGTTTACAGCAAACAGGATGTCATACCATGCGATCATTCCTAAAAGAAATTCAAAGTTTTGTAGTTCGTAACAGGCCAAGGACTCCGCTTCACTTTTGATTTTTGAGTTATTGCATTCCTCAGCAACATCAAGTAATGCATTCCTCATGTCACTTGTCTGGTAGTGGATGTCTTTCACTCACTCTACTCGACACTCCCACCTACAGTAGTTTCTGATAATGGTTTTGGACTCGGAGAGGGAACATGCCTTCTTAGCACTTGCCATGTATTAGTAGAAGCGGAAAATATATTATAAATTCGCTGTACAACTCCAAAGAATGTCATAGCTTTTGAGCTGGACTTGGCCATATCTCCCAGTACCAGATTTAAGTTGTAACAGCCACATGAAGTGAAAAAGGCTCTGGGGTTTATCTGGAGGATGCGTCGCTGTACACCTTTATTTTGTCCCGTCATATTTGCTCCATAACCTTGTCCTCTACAGTTAATAATATGGAGGCTAATTCTATCTAGTGCAGCTGTGAGAGAGTCTGATAGATGGGGTGGCTTAATCTTACCTTTGACCTCATGTCAGCAGATGCATTGCCTAACAGTGCTTATCACTAATCCTTCAGGTGGTCTCCTGAATCTGGGTGGTAAGGTGAGGTCAGCTTAATGCGGTCACTAATTCTGGTGTTGGGCGAGGTAAGGGCCGCGGGGCCTAGGGCGGTCGCACCGGTTGCCATGCCCTAGGGACGGCTCTGCTGGTAAATGTCACGGTAAATGTTTCTTGCTGGATTAAGTTTCCCGTGTCTCATAATATACATACTTTACTGGGGTATGTCTCTATTTCCAACTGTTTATTTCTCTTCTGTTTACACCATTACTCATAAATCATCTGTATGTTTGGCTGCATAATACATTGTGTGTTAAGTACAACGTTAATGAGGATTAATATTTTTTTGAGATACTTTAGGTTAATGTTGTGTTTTACTCCCATTTGTTCATTACTTCTGTCCTCCTTACTGGGTATTTACTACAATGATACACAACTGTTTGTTCTCTCGGGGATTTAAGTCAAAAGGAGCGCAATGTTTAGTCTCTATTTGTTGTGTAAATGTAATATATTAATAAAAATATCACAAAGAGAACAAGAACACGATGAACAAATTCTGGGATGTAAAAACTCCTCCTCGTTACCTGATGTCATGAAGTGGAGGAGGATGTGAAATAATCTGGAGGAGGTTTAGTTCAGGTGATCAACAAAGTATAAATGAATATAAACAATAAATACTAAACCCGTGCGCCTCGCCGTCCACCCACAGATGCTGGAGGGCACCATCGTCAACGTGCCAGAACGCAACTCGCCACGTAAGCTGCGGGGCGAGACGGTGCAGGTGGACACGACCAACATACTCTTTGTGGCCTCGGGAGCGTTCAATGGTCTGGACCGAGTGATATCCAGAAGAAACAACGAGAAGGTTGGTGTGAGTCAGATGGTCTCTTGTTGCTGCTGTTAGTTGGTGCTTTATTTTTTATGGTCCTGCACTGTATAGGGAGGAACATGTAAAGATTAAGCCCCCACCAGAGCTTATTTAACCTACTGTTTAAACAACCTATCCTAACCTAACCTAAACCTGAATGTAGGAAAAGATAAAACAATTGTTAAAATATTAGAAATAAATAAAATCTTAGTACCGGGTATTTATTTTTATCAATAAGTATTATACATGATTACAGTACATTATCTTTTACCTTATGATTTTAGCTCTATTTTTTTATCCAGATTGTATACAAATGATGTTTGACATGGCACAATTATTAAATAACATAAGGTAGGTGGTATGAATGCTGGGACAAGAGACACACACAAATGAGAGTTTGTTTCAGCCTTTTGGCTTACCATATAGGCCGTTACTTTATATCTATCATAAGATTTTGTAGTTTTGGGATTTATTATTTTATATTAGTTTTGTGTTTATAATTGTAACACCAGACTCTTCACTACCTCCCTACCGCTCCAAGCCTGGCTGTCTGTTTTGCTGGGGTTATTTTTCAAGGAGTAATTTTTGGGTAGATATTCATAATTTTCTTTCATTTTTTCTATTGTTACATGCTCACACGATCATATATACATTAGATGTGAAACTTCCATCTGATGAACTACAGTATATGGAGTGGAAAGTTCTTTATATCGAGGGTCTATTAGATGTGAAACCTCCATATAATAAACTCTATGAAGATGAAAGTCCGTTACATCGAGGGTCTGTTAGATGTGAACCCCCAAAGTCCATTATATCAAGGTTTCACCATACAGTACAGGGGCCCCCAAAATTTGCGAGGATTAGATTCTCAAAATGGCTGCGAATTGCCAAATCCAGGAATAACATTTGCTGGGGGGGGGGGACATTTATACTTGTGTTCAAGAAAATGTACAGTATATTCCCTTTATGTGTTTGACCTTAGGACAATTATTTCCTTTACCTGTACTGTATATATATATGTGTGTGTCTACACACACACACATACAGTATATACAGTACAGGTAAAGGAAATAATTGTCTCTAGAACGAATGGCTCCCTGTCCCAGCTGCAAAATATCAGCAACTTTAAAACTACCCTTAGACATTCTTGGGTACATCCAGGGTGTCATCCACGAATAATAGAGGGTGGGGGACTGTATAGTCAAAAAGGATATAAATGTCATTTTTTGTCATTCCTCCACAAGTATACTTTTTTTTTATTTTTAAGCTAATTCTTGCTGTTGATTTGAAGTGTAACAAGTGACGGCCAAGAATGAAAACATTTGCGTACCTGTAACCTGTGTGGATCACCTGAAGATTAGCTCCCCCCTCTTACCACCTCCCCCATCTCCACCCACCTCCCCCATCTCCCTCATGTCCCACCACCTTCACATCTCCCCTCACCTCCCCCACCTTCCCCCATCTCCACCCACCTCACTCACCTCCCTCCATCTCCCCCTCTCCACCTCCCAGGTGAGTACTTAGGGGCAAATGTTAAGGTAAGCAATTTTGATGAATCTTCAGGTGAGCACTTGGGGGGGCGGGGGTAATCTTGAGGTTAACCATACCAGCTAATATTAACAAAATAAATCGGTCTCGTTCAATGTCCGTCACTGACATAACTAAAGTAAATTTGCCCCTTGTGATGTGTTCTCATGTCCTGTTGATTTCTTTTATTTTCATGCCACAGTTTCAAGTAAGTTAGTAGAATGTGAAGCCTTTTGTTGTTTTTTGAGTAATAGTTGGTTATGTTAAGTATCTCTCTCACACAACTCATCCTTCACTCAGCCTAACTTGTAAGGTACGCAGTTATGACCCTTTTAACCTCTACTGTAGCACTTTCCTCACACCAACTCCTCCAGATTCACTCCCCCTCCATTACATCTTTTAATCAATCAATCATTCCTTGCTAGTGATCATCCTTGTTCAATCATCTTATTTCTTGCACGTAATAGACATCAGCTTTCTGTGGGTCAATGTCTCCTTGATCCTTACTGCTCCTCCACACACTGTTCAGAATATCATGTCTGAACTTAATTATGTCTGGTTACTTCTTTTTTGATCGCATGCAACTTCTAGCGTTATTTGTGTATGGTTGTGTGTGTGTGTGGGTGTTTTTTGTGTGGCAGGTTTACGTTTATTCATTGTAATGTTTGTCATGGTTGGTGTTAACAACTAGAGTAGGATGTCCCCCCCCCCCCCAATCCTCTACCACCATTACAAACCTGTGTACTGTACTGGTATGCTTGTGACCCTGAGTAGTCCTGGGGCCTCACAGGATCAAGCAGAAGTACCAGCCTATAAAGTGCTCAGCCAGGTACCTTCTGTGCAGGCAGCTCACCAGCCCAGAAAATACAGTTGACTCTGTTGCCACTTGGCATTTTGAAGCAAAGTTTATGACTGGATGCTCTTCCTAACCTGTTGGTAACAACTGTCAGGGGAGAGTCACAACTCCCTGAGATAATTTACTCTCTGATTGTCATCATTCATTATTATTATTATTTTTTACTGTGCTGTACTGTATTATAATTATTACTATAGTATTAATTTTTTACAGCCATTGTCCAGTAGATCAAGATAATGCCAGAAGATAGTGTACAGTACAGTACAGTATTATATCAGCACAAGTAGAACCTCCACATTACTGTATCTAAGTTTATCATCCAAACCTAAATGATTCTTTACAGTATCTAGGCTTTGGTATTGGGGGTCAGTCAGTGGGGCGCCGTGCAGCATCACAGGCGGACGTGGCTCACCAGACGGCCAGCACCGACGCCGAGGAAGACAACCAGGAGAAGGACGCTCTCTTGACTAAAGTAGAAGCGAGGGACCTCATCGAGTTTGGAATGATTCCCGTAAGTGAGGATTTAAGCCCTGGTACTGTAAACTGGACACTGTGTACAGTACCTGACCTCTCACGGCTTCTTCTCGCTGTGCGGTTTATCTGTCAACTGAAAATCTACTTTATGAAATAGTCTAGTTTATAGAATGATGTACTTTACAAAATAATCTGTTACATGAAAGTAAAGGATGAGAAACTGTACAATGAAGCATGTGAGTGAGTGTGGTGGTGTGAGTGAGTGTAGTGGTGTGAGTGAGTGTGTGTGTGGTGGTGTGAGTGAGTGAGTGAATGTAGTGGTGTGCGTAAGTGTGTGTGTGGTGGTGTGAGTGAGTGATGAGTCAACTTGTCCACAGTGAGTTTGAGGAGTAACTTATATGGTGATGTTAGGAAAACAATGACTTAATAAACATCGTGAGTGTTAGACAATAATGCAGTAAGTTAATGTACAGGTTTAGTATTTGTAGAAAGTTAAAAACACCATAACCAAACAGACATATGCACTCTACCATGGACTGCTACATGGTTCCTCAGTTGATAATAGTAGCCACTTACTGAAACTTCTTGATCCCAGAACTTTTTAGCTGAAAGATACTTGACTAACAACATGAGGAAGGTACAAATAGTCTTGACTTAAAATAGTAAAATAGTAAATTAATAATATATCCTCGAGTTAGTTGATGTAATGATAAAATTCGCTTGGTATTTGGTGAACTTTTATATGCTGTGATATAGCTGTCAAGTTTTTATTATGATTCAAATTCAGATCAGATTCTCCCCACATAGCTCAGGGGTGAGTTTATGCTGTGTTAGGTGAAGGAAAGAAGTGTTACATCGACCAAGAGACAAGCCTAGGAGTTTATTGCTGCTTGCCTTAGATTAGGATGACGGGAGGTAGAGAGAGTAATGAATGGTACCTAACACCTACTTAACACCTGTACTCTCCTCCTGTAACACCTTAACACCTACTTAACACCTGTACTCTCCTCCTGTAACACCTTAACACCTGTACTCTAATCATCATCTGTGTACTGTACTCCCACTCGGCACGACAGAATTACAATGAATCCTTACTCTAACTATCTACAGGTCAGAAAGGTATTATTCCATTAGACATAAAAACCTCCATCTAATAGACCCTAACGGCCTAATCCGACAGACCGACGCTTCAATACACTCCCTAACCCTTCCCTCCGTCTCTCTTCCTAGGAATTCGTGGGTCGGTTTCCCGTTCTGGTGCCTTTCCACTCCCTGACCGGTATCATGCTGGTCAGGATCCTCACCGAGCCCAAGAATGCCCTGGTGCCTCAGTTCCAGATGCTCCCAGGGTAAAGGTAAGGTGTGTGTGGTGCAGGCTACTGTAAGGCACTTTGGGACACTACTGTAAGGCACTTTGGGGTAGGTATCGGTAGACCAGGACACTACTGTAAGGCACTTTGGGGTAAGCTACTGTGGGACAGTGGGCACTACTGAAGGCACTACTAAGGTGGGACACTGTCCAGGCTACTGGGACAGACACTAAGGTAAGGGACTTACTGTAAGGCACTTTGGGACACTACTGTAAGGCACTTTGGGACACTACTGTAAGGCACTTTGGGACACTACTGTAAGGCACTTTGGGACACTACTGTAAGCACTTTGGGACACTACTGTAGGCACTTTGGGACACTACTGTAAGCACTTTGGGACACTACTGTAGGCACTTTGGGACACTACTGTAAGGCACTTTGGGACACTACTGTAAGGCACTTTGGGACACTACTGTAAGGCACTTTGGGACACTACTGTAAGACACTTTGGGACACTACTGTAGGACACTTTGGGACACTACAGTAAGGCACTTTCGGACAATGGTTAAGTTGATGTAGCATTTGTGTAAGAGGCTGAGTAAGTTCAGTATAGCGGCTAATAGAGAAGTGTGGAAGAGGTCGACCTTGATGAGTGGGAGAGGTCAACCTTGGTGAGTGGGAGTGAGCAGTAACAGTCTTCTCTCTCACAGGTGGAGTTAAGCTTCACACCAGATGCCATGGAGGCCATCTCACACCAGGCCATGGAGAGAAAGACTGGGGCCAGGGGTCTACGTGCTATTATGGTAAAGTATAACTATTTGTTTATATCTCTCTCTCTCTCTCTTTCTCTCTCTCTCGGATACAATAATGGGATAAATATTTGTGGAGTATTTTACTGAATTTGTTTTGTGGCGTTGGGTCAAAAAACTACAACTATTTATATAGGTTGTACCTCTCTAGTCCGGCAACCTCGGGACCTGACCTGTGCCGGACCATGGAAATTCACCCTTCTCCAGGATAGATAGTGACTTGGAAGCACTAGCACCACATTCACTGCTTTTTGGTCTCTTTGAAGACATATTGAAGGGTTAAATGTTGTACAGTAGGTTCTCAAATTTTGCGTGTTTTTAATTCAACATTTTTTATTTGGACACAAAAAACACTACACAATTTAAAATTTTGACGGCGGAAACTCGAATTTCAACGGGTTTGAGCGGCCCGCCAACGTTCAGACGTGCACAATCGTGTAAACAGCTTCATTTCTCTTATGTACAATGATTTTTTGATTGAATTAATGTTTATGTGTGTAAAATGAACAATACAATTCATTAATAATACGTAGAATATTAAAACACACGAGGAGACGAGACGGCATTGTTTTCATTAATGCTTACAAAACCAGTGACTGACTGGTTCTACATATAAAACTGAAGAAAATAAGACCATGGTTGTAGCTGAAGTAAAATTAATGTAAAAAAATAATATGGATGTTTTAAGTAATGTTGTTTAATGTTAATAAGTGGAACAATAAAAGTAACTAACCATTAATGGTAAAAAAAAAGTGAGACTGACCTCATGTGAGTGAGCACATGTGAAAACATATCGTCATTACTCTACATAAGAATATGAAAGCAACACTTATTTACTGCTCATATTTATTTTAAGTAATGTTTCTGAATTTAAAACAAAACTTCTACCCACCAGTGGTGGTAAAGTTGAAAACATAAGGACAGCCAATGTTGTTGTGTGTGTTTTTACTCGGATGACGAAGTTGGCAAGTCATCAGGTTCAACTCTAGCTGAAGCTGTACAACATAAACTCTTTTTCAGTGTTTTTAGTTTTTATTTAACTTTATCTGTGTTACTTTCGTTGGTTTATTAGGATGTTGCTTTATTACAGGCAGTGATTCGCCAAAAAATTAGGGTAAATAAGGCAAAATTTAGCCAACCATCGAAAGTACCAAACTCAAATTAATTTTCTCCATGGGCAAACTAAAATCGTTCCGGACCACAGAATGGCGGACTAGAGAGGTACAACCTGTACTTACCATTGATCAAGTGAACATTCCAAGATGGATCAGTTGATACACCAGTAGTATAGTGTAGGAGGAGGAAGAGGAGGCAGAAGATGAGGAGGTAGAAGAGGAGGAGGAGGCAGAAGATGAGGAGGAGGAGGCAGAAGAGGAGGAGGAGGAGGCAGAAGAGGAGGAGGCAGAAGAAGAGAAGGAGCAGGAGAATAGAAAGAGGAGGAGCAGGATAATGGTGATAATTAATATTCCTTGTTATTCTTCCAGGAAAACCTACTCTTGGATGCCATGTTTGAGATCCCAGGGTCAGACATCGTGAGCGTACACTTGACAGGCGAGGCGGTGAGGGGAGAAGCTTCACCTATTTACATCCATGGCCAGCCAGTGTCTTCAGAGGAGGACCAGGAGGAGGAACAGGCTCTTGCTCAAGCCAAGTGAAGAGAGAGGCAGTAGGAGGTGATAATTTTGTACGTTGAATGTTAGGTATGAGTGTGTGCGTTTGTGTGTGTGTGTGTGGTCGAGTCCTCCCCGTGTGATGAGGTTAGAAAATGGACATTAGTGTACCCATACACACATGCGCGGCGGTACAGTCGCGTTACCTGGCCGTGCTCTTGAAAATATCGGGAAAGGGTAAGGATGAGTCACGGCAGTTCCAGTCCTGAGGTTGAAAATATAGGAAGTGTGATGGTTTATAAAATACTCTTATATAGTAATTTAAATATTTTCACTACTATGCTGATGATGAGTAACTAGACAGAAGAAACAGTAATGTGTGCTTAATATAAATACAGTAGAAATAGATATAAACAGTTGTGGTGAAGAAGGGTAGGCTGGCTGTTCCAACAATGCCCATTCTTGTGGACTTTCAAATAAAAAAAAAAAAAAAATTACTCCTGAAAATTTCCTCATAGGGCTATTCAGGTGCAAATAATTATGTACAAGGGAATGACGATAAGTGACCTCCAGTGTACAGTTGGTGACACAACCACAAGTACTGAACAAAATAAAACCGGCTGAATTTTTTGCCATGTTAGAAGATTTATTAAGCTTTTAGTGCTGTTCTGAAACTGTGTATTATGGGGGACATTGTAGCGTCTTATAAGTACAGTACAGTATTACAAGTTTGCTTCAAATCTTTTATGTGGAAGTATATAGTTGGCATATACAACTCCTGTATATACAGTCTCTCCTCGACTTACAACAACCCGGACATACGACGGCCATGGTCGTATAAAATATTTTTTAACATTACGTATTTTTGAGTCCCAACGTTAGTGATCGCGCTGTGTACCGACAAAAATTTTGTTTGTAATTCCCTTTAAAATGGCTGGCAAGCATAAAAGTGAGAGTTTTGTGGTGCTGAGAAGAAAAAGAAACACCCATTTTAGAATTTCTATATTATTTTCACCTTTTCGACTTCCGACTAATTCGACTTACAACCTGGTCGTCGGGACGGAACCCCATCGTAAGTCGAGGAGAGACTGTATATGCCTATAGCCAGCTGAGGTGGGTGATAAGTTATATAATACTGCACAGCTTATATAAGTCACCTTCATATAAGTTTTAGCTTTATAGGAAGTTTTGTGCCATCCCTGTGAGAGGGAGAGGGAGGAAAGGAGGGAGAACTGATTTAAGGTCAAATTCAGGAAAATGTCATGTACTGTAACTGAATTTATTTTTGTTTGATTGAAAATAGTGAATAAAACATTTTAAATTTTATTTTAGAATATTTTGCTCCTTTTTTGGTCCCCTTTATGTTAAACAGATGGTGAGGATGTTGCTTAGTGCTACCCCAACCATCTAGGGGGCTGTTGGTGCTGCCTCAACCATCTGGGGGGCTGTTGGTGCTGCCTCAACCATCTGGGGGGCTGTTGGTGCTGCCTCAACCATCTGGGGGGCTGTTGGTGCTGCCTCAACCATCTGGGGGCTGTTGGTGCTGCCCCAGCCATCCTGGGGGCTGTTGGTGCTGCCTCCCACCCTAGGGGCTGTTGGTGCTGCCTCAACCATCTAGGGGCTGTTGGTGCTGCCTCAACCATCTGGGGCTGTTGGTGCTGCCTCCAACCATCTGGGGGCTGTTGGTGCTGCCTCACCATCTAGGGGCTGTTAGTGCTGCCTCACCATCTGGGGGCTGTTAGTGCTGCCTCAACCATCTGGGGGCTGTTAGTGCTGCCTCAACCATCTGGGGGCTGTTAACCATCTAGGGGCTGTTAGTGCTGCCTCAACCATCTGGGGGCTGTTAGTGCTGCCTCAACCATCTGGGGGGCTGTTGGTGCTGCCTCAACCATCTGGGGGGCTGTTGGTGCTGCCTCAACCATCTGGGGGGCTGTTGGTGCTGCCTCAACCATCTGGGGGGCTGTTGGTGCTGCCCTGACTAACTGTATGAAGTCTTTCTCCATTTAGTAGCTTAAGAAGATTGAATGAAAAGAGAAAATTTCATCTACTGCTGTACCTTAAAACTAACTAAACCCAATAGTAAATATTTCAGTATTTATTTCCCAGTTGTATGTCCATTTTGACCGAGAAATAGCAACAGGGAACAACATATTTCTCACTGATTATTTACATATTTCTCACTGATTGTTTCATTGTCTTTGAGTTACATAAAGGAAGTGCAAATTCAATACAAAGAATTTATCAGTGATTTCTTAGGACTTCAAATTATTACTAAAGATTCTCTGATGATGGTTAACGACAGTATAAATAAATACAGTGAAACCTCGATTTAATGCACTTTATGTAAGTGGTTAGATCAAAGTCCATTATATAGAGGTTTCACTGTACTATGGGCAAGTTTCTTAACACCATTTGCCTCTGTCTACCCAGCAGTAATTAGGGACTTGGATGTTAATTAATTTGTTGATCATTTATACTGGGTTAAGAAGGTGTACACAATCCTATGAAAATATCGAGCTAAGTGTGATGTAAAGTGAAATTGTTAAAGTTTTAGAAAAGTTTGTAAAAGGTAAGAGTAATGTATGAAATGGATAAACCCTTAGAAAAGTCTGTAAAAGTTAAGGGTAATGTATGAAAGTGAAATTAGTAAACCCTTAGAAATGTATGTAAAAGGTAAGGGTAATATATAAAACAGATATTAATGTATTGTGCAAAGTAAAAAAAAAAAGAGTGTGTAAGAGGAATAATTCAAGTAAGACGTGAAAGCTCGTAAAAACCCTGAAGAGCTTAGCATGAGGTAGTGTGTAGACTATTGATATTTGTATGTAATAAAGATAATGATATGCAGGTGTAGGTGTGTGTGTGTCGCTGCTGTCTTTACACATTGTTCGATGGTGGTGTTGACCCCTCTAGTACACCAGATGGATACTCTACACCAAGATGCCTTCCCCCTCTGTATTTCCCTCCCTTCTTCTCTCTTGGTGTCCATATCCATAAATTAATCAACCTCACTCATAAATTTATCCACCTCACTCATAAAATAATCCACCTCATTTATAAATAATCAACCTTACTCAAATTAATCCACCTCACTCATCATTAATCCACCTCACTCATCATTAATCCACCTCACTCATCATTAATCCACCTCACTCATAAATAATCCACCTCACTCATAAATTAATCCACCTCAATCATAAAATAATCCAAGAGAAGTGAGGCTGCTGGGATGTGAAATTACCCCCGAGATCGTAAGCTCTATTTCGGTAATCTCCTCCTCCAAAGCCGTCATTACCCATCCACTGTCAAATTTCTTAAAGCAGTCTAGGCTTGTGTGGTTCATTAGCTGGTGTAGAGTGTGTGAACCTTGTGGGAATAAAAATAAGAACATGTCAATTTTGATGGACGATTTTGACAGCATCAGGAATCCAAATGCCCCAACTTCTATTTTTTCCTAGTTGGTTGCACAAGTTAAGCTGCCATAACATCCACATATCAATAAACACTTTATAACCCTTTAAGCAGTTATATTATTATTGCAAGACTTTCCAGCCATCACAGATCAGCACAGCACAGATCAGCACTGTTGTCATGGGTCTATATTGTAAAGTACACCTTTTCAGATATCCGTTGAGACATTGTTACATAACTATTTGACAAATTTCATAACCGAATGACACATAACTATTTGACAAATTTCATAACCGAATGACAGAACACATATCGAATGACAATCTAAAATAACTGTTCGTTCATGCTAACGGAAGTGATTGACATAAGTTATGAAGTTGACAGACGTGAACAATAAACCGACAGTCTACATATAGTTTGAGAATGTAACAATTGGAGAATGACATACCTGTACCACCAACAGTTATTTTAGATTGTCATTCGATATGTGTTCTGTCATTCGGTTATGAAATTTGTCAAATAGTTATGTAACGTTGTCTCAACGGATATGTGAAAAGGTGTAGTGTATGTACTTGTGTGAAACTAAGGCAGAGAATTGTTAGACCAAGACATTTAGGCTAAAATACAGATACAATGAACACCTTTAACTCCTGTATTGTGTCATAAATTATATTCATTAATGTTAAAAGGTACAAGGACTGGGTGTTATGTAAGTCACAGCCTCACCTTACCTTACCTGTAAGTTATGTGTGAGAATTAAGCTATTTTTCTTGCTGTATGGGTCTGGCATTTTACTTGTGCTGTACAATATTGTATCATAAATTTTGACAACACGTTAGAGCATTTTGCAATACAGATGCCGTGTGTTCCATCTTGTATGTAAAAAATTCACAAACTCATAGTTATGAATGATGAGATTTAAAAGTAGTCTAGTAATGTGTAGCGTAGTGCAGGATGAAACTATGGGCAAGTTTCTTTACACCATTTGCCTCTGTCTACCCAGCAGTAATTGGGGACCTGGATGTTAATTAATTTGCGGACCGTATTCCGGGGAAATGGTTAGCCAGTGCAGTTGGTGAGTTGTCCGGTCTTCTCGGACTATTCTTTGACACTGGATCATGCAACTCGTTAATTTAGGGTGTGGTTATTGTGTTGGTAACAACTTTAAACAAATTTACACCAAGGTAGCTCTAGGGCCGGCCATCCTCAAACATGGGGCAACCAATATTTATAGTGTAGTGTAGTGTAGTGTAGCAGATAATGATAAAACACTGATTGCAATCAGTATAATAGTTATGTAAAGGCTGTTTCAGAGGAGTTACCACTCGGAGATTTAACGTCATGTCAACAAGTGTTTCTTTCACCTGTGGGTCGTATATCAATGGTTTATACTCCAGATTTAATATAATTTTATGTTATAAGTTAACTACTGAACACACACAACAATAACCATCTTTACCCAGGATTTCAAAATAAACACTGCGACTCATGTTGTCTTATTAGGGTTGTTAAAATCCTTCGTCCGTTGTGTCATATTATGTAACATAATATTATAAAGATACCTTTTTTATGGCGTGTACAAAGAAAATTGTGGCGTGACGCCTGTGATCGAGAGACTTGTTGACGTAATGTAATCTGCGGTGCCACACTCGCAACACCCTAAACATTGTCTTTGTCGATCGGCATAGACGTCCCATTAACACTTAAGTAATTAGATATTAAGTAGAATACCCGACTACTGTACTGTACTCTGTTGTCTCCAGAATGACTCGACACATTTTGGTTGTAAACTGATTCATAAAACTTTGGGAATTAAATCCACAGGTTCAGACAAAAATTTAATTAGGAACTTGTCATTGGATACAGTATACAGTATACAATAGTACAGGGATTTTGGTTTAAAGGAAATGTATATTATTTTATTACACTGTATTTTATTGTATTATTATTCTCTGCTACATTTTAGCAGACATTCTGACTGTACATATTGTATTAGTCCGTAGATAATGTGTTGTTGCTTGGAATAAATTACTGACCTCAATACTTGACATAGATTGTGCTTCATAAAATATTAAAAGATTTAAAAAAAAAAATTCTGCTCCCATTTCTAAATTGCCAAAGTGTGATTACATTGTACATTTTCAGAATTAAAACATTGGGAAGATCCAGGAACTGAACCCTTACATAAGATGCCTGTGGACTGTAATATGAAGTAGCACTGTACACAAAAAATTTACTATGCAAAATACAAAAATGTAAAATACACTACAGTTACTGCTAGATTTACAAAGGGTGGACCTATTAATGGTTCAATTCACATGTAAATCGACAGACGCTTGTGTTGCCTGTTTACAATGATTATAAACTCCTCTTCATCACCTTCTGTTCACCACCTTGTACTTGGGGGAGACACATCCCTATAACAGCTGCGTTAGAGATGTGTTCACCACCTTGTACTTGGGGAAGACATATCACTATAGCAGACCACATCATTTATACACTATATGAAAGTCACAATATGAGCACCAATAATTATACTGTTCACACTAAATGTATCAAGAAGTTTTATATATAGAAAAAATAAGTTCTGATGATAATGGACTTGATGTAAAAAATACCAAAGGTTACGGTATCTGCCGGAGCTTGTGTAAGAGTCTACTGTTTGGTCTTTCACTCATAGTTTCTTGATTCCACATTCCTATCACTAAAATGCTCCTTGAGACTGATTGATTCATCGATATTTATTCTCTAGAATCTTCCTTCAAGCTTACGATAGGTTTGCTAAGTGTATAAACAATGTCGGTATATATTTCAGCATTTATATAGACAGTTCAGGTACGGTGTAATTCCTCTTTGTAATATTAGTCTCCCAGTCTGAGCGAAATATGAATTGGAGGGGCAGATCCAGGAATATCCAAAGGGTGACCACAGCAACCCCATCTAGCTTTGGGAAGGGGGGGATGTAAGCCCACCCTCCCCTTCAATTCTTTTATATATTTATTTATTTTTTATTCTGACCAATATCATGGGCATTTTGAGGCCATGTGCACTTGATATTAGGAGATATTCTGAGGTCAGTAGTAATTACTTTTTACTGGACAAAAATGCCTGAGTATATTACTGCATTAAAGACAACAGTTTCTGGCCACTTTAAATATCACAGAAAAGAATACAATTAGAAGATTTATGAATAATTCCAACAGTTTTGACATTTTAGGGGTGTTAGTTTGCTTATCTGGTGACTGTGCCTGCCAGGGTTTACAATATACAGTATATAGTACTCCTTTACATATAGGAAAATATGAGAATTCGTCACTACTAACTCTGCTGAAAACTGATCATTACCATAATACCATTAACTTGAACATTACCCTCATTTCCCTGGTCATCTCCTCGGTAATGAGACGCCGACTGGGTTAATCTGGTCCACAATTTAATTTTCTTTTAAAAATTATCATAAAAACTCGGATAGTTGCAACTTTCTCTAAATTTATCACTTCATTCGTACAAATACACGTCTGAATCTCTAGCGAATGTTCACTCAGAATAAGTAATAAAATTATTTGACAACATAATGACGAGTATCGGTAACAAAAGAAAAATATGCTTCAACTTCTCACAATCTAAATAAAAGTTTCACATCCTTTAAGTAAACCATTTTTTCATTTTCATTTTATCCTCTTCACCACTGATCGGCTCGTTAGCCGCTTGGGCAATCGGTCACGTCTATGTTATGCACTGTTGGCAAGTACTGGGCATGCACTAGCTCCTGAATGTACCTGAACTTGCTCCAGTGTTGGTCAAGTCTGGTCTTGAAAGAGCTCACACTCGGTGCCGTCACAACACTTTCTGGCAGATTGTTCCAAGAGTTCACAACTCTCACTCCGAAAAGTTTGCCCTCAAAGTTTTCTGGACCTACGGCTTCTTCAACCTAGAGCTGTGACCCCTTGTGGGGCGAGCGTCCATCAGCTTCAGGTAAGGACACTCTACCGAGTAGTGCCCCTTGAGGTGCTTATACAACTCAATTAGGTCTCCCCTTGCCCGTCTGTAGTATAAGCTAGGCAAGTTCAGGCGCTCCAATCTCTCAGGGTAGTTGAGGTGCCGAAGTGCAGGCACCAGTCTGGTGGCCCTCCAATATAGGCTATGCTAACGTACAGTATTATCAGTGAATATAATTAGAGTACTTCAAAGTTTAAATTTGTGTTTGAGATCTATAATTTGCTTTAGTTTCCCCTCAAAACGAAACGTTCTCTAGTTAAAAATCGTAAAGTCCTTATTTTTCAGTAATGTGCCACAAAAAAAAATTTATTTTATCTTCACAGACTATTAAATGCTAATATAAATTTATTTAGAAGGTAATAAATGATTATTCAAATGGCGGTTTATATTTTCAACGTAGAAAAGTAATATGATGATATATGGAGGTGAGCGCCATCTAGGATATCGAGTCGTCGGGACGTTAACTGAACTATTGACATCTAAAGAATAGCGAAGAAGTTATAACGAAACAGCGTTAACGGTGGCAACGTTAAACGGGGACTCACTGTATATGATCAGCTTCAATGGTTGTGAATCGAATAGTAATGAATTATAGTGAAAGAAAATGTTAGCAAGAGTCTAACCACAAAAAAGTGCAGAATCTGATATCAAATTTACTTACTTGGTACTTCGAAACTTAACTATTTAGTCCAAACATGGGGAAAAACATGTAATTGTAATTTGAGAGTATTGTGAGCCAAGTAATTGTAATTGTATTTGTAATTTAAGCTTTAGTTGAGTAATTGTAATTGACCTTAAATAGTGTAATTAATCCAAGCCTGATTAATGGGATGGTAAAAAATCACCTAAAATAATCAATCATTCAGAAAGAAATTATCACGTGGGATGAGAGCACCCAACTGAGACTTTATGTGTAGTGAAAATGTGTGTGTGTGTCTGCAGCACAAAGTGGACTGGTCAGATCATCAGGTGTTAAGAAATGTGGTAATTTTTCTCATAGACTGTGTGGTGCATTCTATCATGTCCAAGGTTTTGATATGAACATTTGATATATTTTTGTTACCTACTGGATTTCTACATTTTTTTTACCCTTAACCAACTGCTTAGGATTCCCTACTCTGTTTCATATGTGCATAAATTGACTGCAAGGAACAAGAAACGTCCACTAATGATGACCGTCATCCCTACAACTAACTTCACCACCTCACCACCACCTTCCACACACCACCAATACCTCCCCCACACCACCACCAGTCTACCACCTCCCCCACACCACCACTACCTTCCACACACCACCACCACCACCTCCCCCACACCACTACCAGTCCACCACCTCCCCCACACCACCTCCATCTACCCCACACCTTTACCTCCCCCCCACACAACCACCAGTCCACCACTTCCCCCACACCCTCACTACCACCACAGAGTACAAGAGGAGGTCATCTCTGGGGTGTTGATCACTCTCACAAGGCCATGATTGACATACAAGTTCAACTTACATAAAGAAATATGGGAGTTTTGTGTAACTTCCATTTAATAGACCTTGATCTAATATTGCTTCAGTTCAACACAGTGATGCAAGACCTACACCCTCCCTTCTGTGTGGTCTTGTTCTCCCTGATAAGACCTTCACCCGCCCTCCTGTGTGGTCTTGTTCTCCCTGGTAAGACCTACACCCTCCCTTCTGTGTGGTCTTGTTCTCCCTGATAAGACCTACACCGACACCCTAAGACCTACACCCTCCTGTGTGGTCTTGTTCCCTGACCTACATAAGACCTACACCCTCCCTCCTGTGTGGTCTTGTTCTCCCTGATAAGACCTACACCCTCCCTCCTGTGTGGTCTTGTTCTCCCTGTAAGACCTACACCCTCCCTCCTGTGTGGTCTTGTTCTCCCTGATAAGACCTACACCCTCCCTCCTGTGTGGTCTTGTTCTCCCTGATAAGACCTACACCCTCCCTCCTGTGTGGTCTTGTTCTCCCTGATAAGACCTACACCCTCCCTAAACATCAACATTTCTGGTGTGTAAAGGGAAGCTGTGTGGAGTCTTACAAGTGAGAATAATATTGTTATAGTACAAACATTCATAAGATCTGTAAGTCCGTGCGCATGCAATTTATTTTTAGACACCCTGTATAAAGTGTTCCTGTTTGGGCGCAATATTGTGAACTAGATTAATACTGAACTTTTCTAAGATGTTGTCTATCCAGTGACCCCTCGATCCTGGCCAATGTGAAATAATAACTACGAAATAAAACACATCAATATAAGTATTTTCTCAAGATGTTTAATGTATAATCATTTAGTACATTTTACTGTGTGCCTCGACTCACGATCGCCAATAAAGAGTTAATTATCTTTATACACTATTAACACCTTTCTTGGACTGCCCTTGCATTAATATGTATAATTTACCATTGTCGTGTAGCTAGACTCCTAGACTGTCTATTTACATAAAAATTTGAATATTTATTGAATAAATCTTTAAATGCCCATCGACTTTGGTCATCACGGCGAAGGGGACTGAAATCTTGCGTGTAATTGGTCAGTTTTCAGCAGAAGTCACTGATTGGTCCCTGGCGGCATTAAATTTATGTAAGCTGGCGTGTGGTTGGTCAGTTTTCAGCTGGTGGCACAAGACGGTCTGTGATTAGCCGACGAGTCCTTCGGGTCTTAAAGAGACGTAATGGCGTCGGCGGAGAGAAGAATGGGTGTGTGCAACATAATGGACGCTCTTGGGCATTTAAATGGAAGGTAAGTTAAATTATATGATAGTTTTTAGAAGTTTATAGTTTTATGTACAGTCTATAATATAATATATGACAAGACACATCCTGAGTGGAGGTTTATAAGCCAGTATAGTGTTGATGGTGTTTGTTGTGATGAGCAAGTCGCCATATTTGTTTATTTTCTCATTTAATTTAGTAGACGATTACTGTCACTTGTGAAGGTCTGTGGACTAGTTACCAACTTTAATTAAGTTCTAGAGGAGATCCATCAGCCTTTTTAGTAGATTTGTAGGGATTTTGCCATATAAAGTTATAATTGAGTAAGTCGGCTACGTCTACTGTGGCTGGACGAGAATGTCACTCGGATTGTTAAATAATTTTCATATGTCTGTGGTGATTAAAATGAAACGTGGTCCCCGGGTTAACCAGCAAGAATTAAAAAAAAAGTAAATTAGCATGTTCAACCAATAATGGCTCTCTAGTTGAGCAGTGTTCCCATATTACGCATTCAATTGTGACAAGAAAAAGAACGGTTCAGAAGATATGCTCTTGAGATCTATTCATTTTGGACCCAAAAACATTGGGATGCACATTGGTTGAAAATGCAACAATACCAAAAACTCGTACTGACTCTTTACATGGTAAACAGTATTTAGTAATATGGTAAAAGGTTTGTGTGTATGGTGGTCTGTGTTTTGTTGCTCTTCTGGGGCTATATTTTGTACTGCTTGAAATTTAAGTTTTTTTGTTCTTGTGATTGTGTTCAGAGGTACCGGAGGGTATTCTAAGTGTGGTATGATCAGTGCTTTGTATAGGTGCAGTTGCGTGTTGGTGTTTAATTGGCGGAATCTCCTGAGCTTTGTAAGTTGTGATTTTGCAGTTGCTATTCTTTCATTGATGTGGGGAATTATTCCGCTTCTGGTTATCTTGAGTCCTAATATTTTTCCGTTGGCAGCATATGGTATTTGTTGGTTATTGACAATAATGGGGAAGGGATTTGTTTTTGCTATGAATTATTTTGAGTTTTTGGACATTGATTTTATCTTCTGTTTTTGTTCATAGTTATTTATTATCTCTATTTCTCTGCTTGTTCTGATGGCCATCATTTGTTTGGATTTTCCTGGGTACCTGACTATCTGTGTGACATCATCTGCATTTGCTATATATTCTGATTGCCGTGGTTGTGGCATGTCTGCTGTGTATACAGTGTATAATGTTTGCGATATATTACTGCCTTGGGGAACTCCACTGTGAAGGTTGAAAGTTTGTCCTAGATAGTTGTGGATGATTAATTTGGCCTTTCTGTTGTCTAAGAAATTGCATAGTAGTGTTGTGATATTGGAAGGCATGTCCAGTTTGATTATTTTCAACTTCAGTCCTTCATGCCAGACTTTATCAAATGCTTTTGATACATCTCTTAGAATTATATTACATTGGTCTCTGTTGCTTGCAGCATTTGCAATTGATTCGTATAATAGTGCTATTGCTGTGTTGGTTCCTCGATTTTTCCGAAAGCCTTGCTGTCTCGGGTTATATTTGTTTTCTTGGTCTAGATAATTTCTGAGTGTGGTTGACTATTTTTTCCAATATTTTACCGGGTGTTTCCAGTAGTGAGATAGGTCTGTAGTTCTGTGCTTGGGTATGGTTCTTGCTTGCTTTCGGGATGAGTCTGATTTTGGCTATTTTAAATTTGGTAGGGAAGAAGTCAGTTGCAAGTGAGGCATTATATATATTTTTAAGCTGTTCGATCATAGACTCAGGAATGTTTTGTAGTACGCTTTTATTAATTTGGCTTATGCCAGGTGCTTTGTTCTTAAAGCTTGCTATTGTTTTTTCAATATTTTGGGTTAATGGAGCAATTATTGGGTTATTAATATTTAATGAATTGAGGTTGATTTTTCTAGTAGGTTTCCATTTCTCTGTGTTCAGGCTCAAATGTGTTCTAGTTGCCTGTTCTGTTTCTTGGCAGAAGCTTCTACTGTCTTTGTCGTTGATTCTGAATATGTCTTTCCAGTATTCTCTAAATATTGGTTCTTTATCGTGTGGTTCTGTTGCCTTTCTTCCGTTTTTGTCCTTTATGTAGCTAATTTCTTCCGAGTTAGTTCCAATTAGGTTTTTAATTTTTTCCAGAATGCTTTTGGGTTTCTGTAGTCTGCTTGTGTGTGTCATTGATCAGTTTGTTCCATTTTTCATTGTTTGTTCCTGCTTATGACTTTCAGTTCTTCTTTTAAATTCATGTACTGCATAATATTCTGTTGTCATTGCTCCACCCATGTGTTTTTGTGTATTCAATTAGATTGGTGAATCTGGTTTGGATCATTTTCTCTTCATATGTTAATTGTGCATATGGTAATGTACGGCATGTTGTTTTTGGGATGTTGTTTTTCATTGCTGTTATTACTTCATTGTACCATGTGTCCAGTGTTTTGTCAATCTCTGTTGTGTAGCGGTGTTGGTTCGTTGTTGCTAAGATCCGATTTAAATTTTTCCCAATTTGCTCTATTGAGGGAAAATCTTGGGATTGATGGAATTTGTATTGGGGATGTGGATAGAGTTGCTATTATGGGTAGATGATCACTGGTTGTTGTGGGTCCAGCTTTTAGATGGTGATGCCTATTGGTTAAAACAATGTCTGGTTTTCCAGAGTTACCGGCTGATGCGTAAGTTTCGAAGTCGGGCCCGAGGTGTGTTATTGTCCCGTGTTCGATTAGAGCATGGAGGATTTTTCTTCCTGGGTTTCTATTATTGTGTCCTAAGGTTGTGTGCTTAGCGTTGAGGCCTCCTATGAAGTATGCTGGATTGTTTTGCCTCATTAGTTTTAAGATGTCCCCTGTAGGGAATATTGGCCTTCTGAATGTTTGTTATGAAGTTCCAATAGTTATTGGGACTCTTGTTGTATTTATTTCGGCTGCAAGAAAGTATTTTGAAAGTTGTCTATGATTTTCTAGGCTGTCTTTAGTTCCACAATTTACATACATGTCTTATCTGTCTTTTCTTATACTTTCCAAGTCTTTCATTTCTTTTCATATACTGTATTTTTTTTTTAAATACAGTATATGAAAAGAAATGAAAGACTTGGAAGTATAAGAAAGACAGATAAGACATGTATGTAAATTGTGGAACTAAAGACAGCCTAGAAATTATTAAATAATTACACCATGAAGGTTTAATCTAAAGAACATACATAACTAAGGAAGGAATTACTTATATAAGAATATAAGCAAAAGTATAAAATACATTTATAAATAAAGAATTGAAGAATAATAACAGAAACGAATATCTGGAAAGTAAATTACGAGAAGAACTCGGCCCGTTGCAGGGTAAGACCTTTTTTCCATCCTTCCAGTGGTGGTATACTGCCTGATTCTGGGGTCACTAATTCTAATGGGATAACTTAACTCTATTCTTAATTTTAAGGTCACTCCCACCAGACCCCCTCTGGACAGTATGTAGCTCATTAGGTAGCGGGCAGAGTAAGCTAGGCATTGGATTGGGTTTTTCATTGACCAAATCGATAATGGGAAGAAGGGTGAAACAATAACACGTCTTAACTAATTTATTCCTTATAAGACATATTGCATCCCGTCAGAATACAAGAAAAGTTGGCCTTCCTCAGAAGAAGAACTATGATTTTAGTTATACTGCCCACAACAACATACGTCTTACATCATTTGCGTGTCATTAACACCCCTACTTCATAACAATCACTGACACCCAACACATCAGACTGCTTCACCTGTTTGGAATATAGCACCCTAGGTTATTGTACATTATAGCACCATCTCACCACCCCCGGTTACACTCCACACCTAAAAGTATGGAACTCCTTGCTATTTCTAGGTACTGTACACATCAGGCACCTCGTTCTCACACCGCCCTTGGTGGGTAGAGAGGGGTACTCCACCAGTAAACATACCAGTACTGTTTCTACGCCTGGTATTCTAGGTCGCTCCAAGTGACGACCGCGGAGCTTCTCAAGCATTCTATTATGTGTTCCTACTCCTGGGTGGTGATATGCCGGGAATCCACAGGTTCACAGTGGAGTAGCATAACGGCGTACAGTCACCTCACATGGTGTGACTCTCACGGGAGTAATGGCCTCCGTTCTGGCGACTCTCAGAACGCGTGGAACCTGTGTTGGTGAAAAAGCGGGCACCACTGAGGGCGGTGCCTCGCGTCTCTCACTGAACCACGTCTACAGTTTCCAATCATTAATTTTTACTTTGAATTCTTATGGTTCCCACATCTCCATTTTCCTATCTATTGTGACCTTATGATTTATAAATACATATCTTAATCCTAGATTACACACTAAGGTAAGGTTCTGGTTTGCTAGTTCCTGAGTAAATTCATTGGGTTATAATATCAATGCGGTATGCCCGAGGCGTTCTAGCGTGGGTATACGTCACACGAGATAAAGAGGTGTATTAAGTTCACACCAATGAATACAAGATATTTCCTTTGAAGTATAGTTTCTGGATCACTTCCAACACTTCACATAGGTCTGATACATTTATCCTTTTTCCAAATCAACGTTCTTTTGTAGTTTCATCGGCCACCTGTGGGAGCTATGTTCACTAATTGTTCACAGACGTCCATAGAATGACCTTCAAACACGATCTACATTCAGCCCTTATAGTACACTAATCCGGACTGGTTGGACTCTCCCAACCATCTTATAGATACCTTGAGTTCTCCTTAATGCTATGAGTACATACACTTAATATTATATGCCCATACCTGGGTACAATTCATCAAATAATTCAGTAACATTCAGTAGGTGAGTTATTCTTTATCATGTTTCCAGTTTTCTGTGATTTTACAAGTGCGGTGGATTTGAATGTTATGTAGAGTAATATGAATTAAAGAGTTTTGTAGGGATGACAATGATGTGCGCAGTACAGTGGGTAAGGCCACCGTTACGTGGGGCGAAGCTTGTGTCCTACCTATTCCGGGAGAGTAACCTAACAAAGGAATTTCAACACCCCCCACCCCCACTGCCGCTTGGTGGTCGTGGGGTGGTTCCAATGTCTCTCCCAGAAGCCCTGTTGGGGGAGCCTACTTTCCTAGTGTTTTTATTTGCTCACTTATAGGTGTGAGCCAGTGTACCTATTCAGGGGGTTAAGGATTCAGGAATGCGACCCCCTTCCTCGGTGGACCCACACGATCACTGTTACTCAGGAAGGCTGGCGGAGGAATAGGGTCTGCTCCTGTCCCCCTCCAGTGTTCACTATCTCCTGGGAGGGAGGTGAACAGCTACAGGGGGGACCCGAGGATGAATACACCTATGAGGGTGCAGGTCCCCAGGCCAGAATGAAGAAAAAGAAAGATTTAGTTGTAGAGATAGACCCCAAACCATGTCAGGACCGCCATGCTATAGCTGCCCTCCAGCAGGAGTGTGGGTCACTCACACTGCTTGTAGGGAGGACTAGCTCGTGGGGTAGTCTGGTGACGGTCGTTCGGTCGTTTGATGCTTCAGGGTTCCAAACTGTGCTGCCCTTGTCTGGGAGTACAGTACTCCCAGAACAGTCGAGGTGACACTTGAAGTTAGGTTAGAACAATTGCCTCAAAGAAAAATAGAAATCTTTTTTAAAATAAATTGTACTTGTAATGCTGTTGTGTGGAAACATGAAATATTCAGAGTATGATAATTGTCTGAAAAACATACAGTATGCCAGCTACCTAACTTATATATTTTATATTCTTTTTTTGTGAAATGACAGAAAAAGTTTTAATTGTATACCAGTGTTATATTTTTGGGTGCCTTCCTACAGTGATACCATAGCAACTGTTGTGACCACTCGAGTTAATACAATACTTTGATATTTACAGACAATGAGTGACCAGTGAACATCTGCCGTGTTAAGAGTGTTGTGGGCAGTGTTCATTTCCGAGTGTTACCGGAAGGCCATAATTGTACTAAGGTTATGTATCTCAGTTTTGTTTGTAATTGTGACATTTATTTGATATACTTGTTGTGAATTCAATAGGAAGCGTTGTAATTCTCACTTGATTTATTTTTTTCTGACGACAGTATTGAATTTATATTATATAACCCGAGTTGAGAGTCGGATAAATTTTTGTGTGTATTTCATTATTTTTTCTGTGCTAGTGACCTTAATTGTGAACTAACTAGAAAGAGTTTTAGTTCTCAGCTGACATCAGTATATGACAATTGAATTTATTGATATACCACGAGTTTAGTGTTATATTTTCTATTATTGTATTTTTGTGTTGTTTCTATTAGCTTATAATTTTAGTGCATAGGGGCATTAGTTTCTGGCAGTGTAGACTTAAAGGCATCGTCAGTAAGTGTATTATATGATTACAGTATTTGAGAACTAATACATGTATAATTTCAGTAATTACGTTGATTGGGTTGGAGAGACTGTGGTGAAATGGACGCCTAAAAAGAATACACTCTTTGAAAATGGATTGCTGAAAATAAATGTAAGTACCACCAATTGTGAGTACAACACAGAGTAACGGTGAAGTGTTAACACAGTGTTAAAATCATTGCAATTGAAAAGGACAGTGAATACGTGTTGAGTACTGAGGAGACAGTCTAGTAAAGTATTATCAATTATTATTGTGAGTATGACTC